TTTGTGAAATGCACTTCTAGGGTCTCCGCATAGATGGCGCCACAATGTGAGTGTGTTCCCTCATTCTAGAAACATTGTAAAGGCCCGTTCACACTCTTGCGACTGCTTGCGACCTCTTAAACCTGGGTTCCTTAAAACTTCTTAAACCAGAGAACACACTGGCGCCATCTATTGGGAAGCAGTGTAAACTCGGCGGTCCGGCATATTTTTTTTTATTTCTCGCGCAATATCCTTTTTTTTTTTTGGCTCGAAAAGCTTTTGTCAACGTTATAAACGAGCCTTTCTATGGGTATTACGCACATTTGACCTCGGAAATCCCGCAAAACCTTCGCTTCTGTGAAATGCAGTTCTAGGGTCACCGCATAGATGGCGCCACAATGTCAGTGTGTTCCCTCATTCTAGAAACATTTAAGAAGTTGTAAAGGCACGTTCACACTCTTGCGACCGAGTACGACTGAGAGAGACGAGATCTCTTAAAACTTCTTAAATGTTTTTAGAATGAGGGAACACACTGACATTGTGGCGCCATCTATGCGGTGACCCTGGAACTGCATTTCACAAGAGCGACGGTTTTGCGGGATTGTCGAGGTCAAATGTGCGTAATACCCATAGAAAGGCTCGTTTATAACATTGACAAAAGGTTTTCGAGCCAAGAAAGAAAGGATAATGCGCGAGAAATAAAAAAAAATATGCCAGACCGCCGAGTTTACACTGCTTCCCAATAGATGGCGCCAGTGTGTTCTCTGGTTTAAGAAGTTTTAAGGAACCCAGGTTTAAGAGGTTGCAAGAGAGTGAACGGGCCTTAAGAGATCTCGTCTCTCTCAGTCGTACTCGGTCGCAAGAGTGTGAACGGGCCTTAAGAGATCTCGTCTCTCTCAGTCGTACTCGTTCGCAAGAGTGTGAACGGGCCTTTATTTCCACGGTTTTTGATACGCTCAATATAGGTTCCGAATAACTCGATCCAACTGCAGAGCTCGGGGATCCTGGGTTCGATCCCCACCCCTGCCCGTTCCGATCTGGATGAGCATCGGAGACCCCAGGCTAAACCTTGTACTGCACTGGCTAGATTTGTCATCTACAGCTGGGAGACAAGTTGCCCGTTGAGGCGGACTAAGTTCTGGGCCGTATAAACATTCACACAACCCAATTTTGTTTTAACTGCGGCACGCGACAAATTAGTTTTGCCTTCGTCTCTAACCAAGTCCCGCTCGCTGTGAGCATAAAAATTAAGACACGTTAATTCCTACCTGGCCCACCCGCCCACGCTGTTTCGCGGCGACAGTCTGCGGCGGCTCGATAATTACAAAAATATTATTAACCCACCTGGATCACCCGTACACGCCGCTTCGCGGCGGCACTGGCGTCCCCGCTGCGAGGCAGCGCGCAACGCTGACGAGCTTGCGCAGTTTTGGTTCTGGTTTTGTTTCACGGCACCGTGGTACGCTTATGTGAGGTTGCAATGGCTTTCGAGAGTATAGGTGACATTCACTTGACGTCACTCGCTAGGTTCGCTGGCATCGCCCACCACGGTCGCCATCTTCGAGGTCTCTTGCTATCGCGAATGCCATCTGGGGGGCTATGTTGCGCTTTTTGCACTCCCAGGAGACTTGGAAGAGGGAAGTGACGTCAACGACTAGAGCAAATGCAGATTGGATGTCGACAGGAGAAAACAAAATCAACACCCAATCTGCGCTTGCTGTGTCGTTGACGTCACTTCCCTCTCCCTAGTCTCCTGGGAGTGCAAAAAGCGCAACATAGCCCCCCTGGCCGGACCTTTTGAGCGTGGTTTAGCAGTATTTTACAACTTTAAAGGGTCTTTTTGATCGAAACTAGGGGTTATTCTTATACTTTGGTGCTTTTGAAGCGCCGTGGGAGTATTTTTTGTGTGTTTTAGTTCGTTTTTGTCGCTATCGGACTCGTTTACCGCGGCCGCGTTGCTCCCTCGGCTCCATGAAGCGCTCCGTGTTGCCCGCCGTGCCGACGGCGGTAGCTCTTGCAAGAACTAATTTTTCTACTTTGGTGCTTTTGTAGCACGGTGTGATTACTCTTTGTTTTGTTTTGCTAGTTTCTTTATTGTTTTTCTCTAGCGGATTTTCTGTACTACGGCCGTGTAACCGTGTTGCTCCATCGCCGCTGTGTCGTACATACGTCGTGCCTTCGGTGTTCGTTCCTGTGCAGAAACATACCGTGCGGCTCACAGAGTGCGCAGCTTATGAAAAATGCGGCGCATTTTTCATTAGCCCAAGCGATTTAAAAAACGCATGTTAGCGATTTGGCGAGCGGGAAGACAAGCGACGGCGAGCCGCTTCGCTGCCGCTGGGTCACTCGCGCGACGAGGCAAACCGCATGAAAGCGACGGGAGCACACGACCAAGGCGATGAGCGCTAAGTTTTCTAGAAATCCCAAAACCGAGCTACGCGACGAGTGACAGAGAAGGGTGAACCGCATGTAAGCGATTTAGCGAGCGATGGCGACAGCGACGGGAGTCGGCGACGAGCGACGCGGTCGGTCGTCGCGTCGCTCGGTTTTTGGATTTCTAGAATGGGTCGCTTATCGCCTTGGTCGCTTGCTCCCGTCGCTTTCATGCGGTTTGCCACGTCGCGCGAGTGACCGAGCGACAGCGAAGCGGGTCGTCGTCGCTTGTCTCGTCCCGTCGCTGTCGCTCGTCTCGTCGCTCGCCAAATTGCTTACATGCGGTTCAGCCTTTACACACGGTACTCGGCGGCAACAAAGAAAACGGCCCGCCCCCGAGACCAACTTTTCTTCTCTCTTCTGTTCTACGAAGCTTCAACGATATGAAATTAGCACACACTAGCAGCGGACGACCGCGTAGCGTACCCAAGCCAGCCAAACCGAGACCTCGAAGATGGCGGATCGACGGTGGCGCTCCCTGGCAAAATCGAACCTGCAGGCTCAGTGAATACCACCTATAGATATAAAACATCTGTCACGTCTTCTAACGGCGTGCTCATAAGCAACTGCAAAAAAAAAAAAAAAAAAAAAAAAAAAAAGATTTGTGCTATATTTTTTGTGTACACACAAGCTCTCCGTGCACCGACCCAGTGAAATTCTCTAGAAGACGACCGATGCGCACCGGTGCGTTTTATCGAAAATGACGTGGCGCGCCTCGGAGCACCGGTGCGGTTGATCGGAGATAGACTCGAATACCGTGACGCGCCGTCACCGTCTTTCAAAAGAAGTCGCTACGTAGTGTGGCAAGTAAGATAATCTTGTATATTATATATCATTTCACATAATCAGCATCAGTCACCGCCGGGCCTCCGTGGTACGGGCTTGCCGTGCGGCGGCTCTCCTGAGCCAGTAAATATTATTATTATTATTTTTATTATTATTATTATTAAGATGGCAAAATATTTCTGTAGCCTAACAATTTTTATATAAATATGTTATACTTTTAAAGTCTTTACCAACACCTAAAACGTATTTCCCGCCGAAAAAAAAAAAAAAAAAAAGGGTGTCTTTTAGCAAATTCGTGCTTTCGCCGTATTTGTGTAGAGTTCGTAAAAGAATTGCTTAGTTCGTTCCATCGCCATTTTTCTTCCTGAATATCATTCCCTATCACTATCATTTCTTTCACTCTCCCGAGTGTCCTCCCAGCTCAGGACCCCAGCGCCCCGGCCCTGCCAGCCCTCGGGACCCCTCGCCCAAGCCTTCCTTCGCCTACGAGCGTCTAGAGACGATCTGACACTGGAGCGGCTCGCACACCAAAAACGAGTGCACGGGAGCGTCGCTCGCGCCGTGACCTCTTTTCGCGTTCCTCTCCACTCGGGGTGGCGGTTGCACCACCCTCCCCGTCGAATCGCGGGGCCAATGTCGCCCAGCCCAAGTTTCGGTTTCGGATTGTGATCATGTCAGCTGAAACGAGATTGAGCGCATAATATTAAACTTTTCTTTTTGCGAAAATAAACTACGTAGAGCCATTGATCAGAGAGGGGATTTGTCATTTAACACGATGCGTGGGATTGTTGATTTTGTTAGCTAATTAATGAGTGACAGTTCGGCCTAATGATCGTGGGCGGGATCACTCACCGCGTGGTGTGTGGAACCGAGATCGAGATTTCTTTGATCGGGCCGTTGAACCGACTCGAGTGACGAACGGTGACGAACATCGGCGAACTTTGCGCGCAGATCGCCCTTTGGACGGCTGCCCCAAAAGAGTGTAGGTGGCTGCGTCTCCGAGGTCTCTGCGGCCTATTTTTGGATCCCGCCTGCCGAGCTAAACGTGCGGGGTTTTTTTGTGTGTCCTTTTCCTTTTCAGCTCTGATTTTCGGTCAGGAGCGTGCCGTGCGCATGTTTCAAGGATTTTCGGTCAAATGTCGTCGTCGTCGTCAAGTGAGCCGACCTGTAGATAAATTTCTGTGCTACTCACTCATGAAGTTTTCATGGTGTTTCGAGGCGCTTCAACATGCAATCGTCCTAGAGGATCGAGTAGCACGTTTATGGTTTTGCCGCGAATTAATAAATAAAAATATAAACATCTCTCTGGCGGCACGGACTCGTTAGAAAGAATTAATACCACGGAAAACAGATATCAAAAGGAATTTTGTATTTCGCTGGAGCGTGCGACGTTAATTACCATGCATTGAACGATAAGCGATCTTCATTTTTACCACAAGTGACAAAACCTCAATTTGCATGACGACGTCGGTGCATCAAAATGCCAATGAAATCTTAAAAATACCGCACGTTATTATTCTATGTTCATTTGCGTAGTGAAGTTACTGTTCCAGAAATTGCGGTGGTGGTCGCAACTCATCCCATTATAATGCAGGAACCCACTCCCTTTATTATTCTTATTATTACCATTTCATAAATATTTATTTTTAATTGAAAGGAATTCGAGTATTGCAAAACAATTCCAGTCGTTGATGCGCGGACATTCATAGCGATGACTGAGAGGCGATTTTGAGAAGAGTCTAATTTTATTGAAAAAAAAGTCCCCGGTGCCCCATAAATGGCAGCGCCCGTTGTGGCCCCCTACGCGCATGCGCACAAATCCATTCCCCGCGCTCCTCGCTTGCTCCGTGTTGTGTGTGCCGGCTTGTGCGTAGATTAAAAGTCCACTCGATAATCTCCGTGTGCTGGGCTGTCCAGCCATGATCGTCGAGTTGTGAGTGTTGGACCGATCGACGCGTGACACCGGCCGCTAGGAAAGGTAAGCAAAAAAAAAAAAAAAAAAAAAAGGCCGCGTAGGCCTACGCGGTGTCGCCGACCCGCCGGACGGCGCGCCGCTCGTGCTGCTGCCTGTGCTCGTTGTGCTCGCATCACCTAGGCAACTCGAGTCGTGGTTTCTCGCATTGTTTCCTGCTATTTATCGACCCTGTTCGTCTGCTACAGGTGAGTGGACAGATCAGGAACACCCGCCGGCCGCGCCGGCCGGTGAAGAGGTCTTCCGGGGCGCGGGCTCGACGATATCGGGCACCTTGGGCGTTCTTGCTTGCCACTTCCTTTCAATTGACACTCCTTCGGGGAGGTGGTGTTTGCTTCGGTTTCGATCGTGCCGCGCTCTGTGCTCGCTTGATCTGCATACTACATGCACGGCGCTTTGGTTAGCCGCGCCTTGCGCGACCGGCGTTCAGTGAGCGCTAAAGAACGACGAGGAACGGAACAGCGGCGATCCCCCGAAGCCGATTCAGTTCTTCCAAAACGTTCCTGCGAACACGCGCGATTTTTAAAAGTGTTCGCACGCATAGCACACGCGCGCGCGCGCGCGTGTGTTATGCGTGCGTTCGTGTGACTTGGCACCCGGCGTTATCGCCGATCACTTGCAGTCGTGCTGCCTCAGTCGGTGTACACTGTTGGCTCGTGGTCTCATTCTCCGTTGGCTTAGCAGTCGTTGTCGAGTAAAGGGGCACAGTCTTCGCTATTTTCTCCACGCAGTCTTTTTGAATCGATGACACTGGGAGGTACTTCAACGTCGTGCACAGCCATGAATATTATAGAGCTACGCAATCGGGACTTTCGATACCTTTTTCAAAGAAAACAATGACCCTCGATGTACGACTCTCCCGTGAGTCACAGGACGTGTGGTCACCCTACGTAGGAGTGCCCGAGTTCTGGCATTAGCCATCTCTTGCCGTCCGAGAAGCACATCCACATCCCAGTATGGCTGGGAGCCGACAGCCATCTCAGCGTTGACTCTGCAATGAAAGCCCAGTGCCACGGATGGCTCATTGTGGAGTGTCCACAGGCATTGGGGGGGCCTGGGGGCGCAAGCATCCAGAATCCTTGCTACGCAGTTTCATATGCGTGTGTGGCTCATCCCGTTTGCCAGCTCACACTTTGTCGGCTATTGCTTTGGAACCTTGTGCTGCCACAGGAGGCACAAAGAGTCCAACGGTCCGTTTCAGTGTGCGGGACGAAAGGCCCCTGTCCCATAGCGAAAAAGCGGCTCATTGACGCTTCCGGGTTGCGCTGATCCAGACAGAATGGCTCTGAGCGTGCAAGTAAGCTTCCGAAAGCATTGGAGTCCTTGTCGTGAAAGTTGGTCATATATCTATTTACAGTCAAGATCGAACAACCCAGTGCCACGCTTGTAATCCGTAGAGCTGTGTAGAGTTATCAACAGCCAACGTGGGATGCTGATAAACACTCCCATACGCTGTGCATGGTTGGTGTAGGACATGTAGAGTGGCGTCATATAAAGTAGTCGGTTAAGGCGTATCTCTTGTGTCTAACCCGATTTCTAATTTAGCAATCTTGTGTTGAAAAACAACAACAAAAAGCTTGTGGGATTTCGGCCAAAAAATTTTCTCTTTCCTTCTCCCTACGCTGATCATATCCAGTGGGGACCTGCCTGCACTGAGTCGCTCGCCGTCACAGCTAAGGTCACCTTGTCATTTGCTAGGACCGGTTGTATCTAGCGTTCCCTGCATTCCTTTCGGTGCTGTGGACGACGCTGCACGCTTTGCAAGACGTCTATTGAAAGGCCTCTCAAGCCATTGAAGGAAGCCTTAGCTGCTGACCGGAAGCTGAAGCAAATTACTGCTGAACGGAAGCCAAGAACTTGCATGTTTGCTGAGCTCTTGTCATACCCTAGGCCAGCATCGGTGCCTGCAACCACTCTCTTCGGCACGTCTGTGGAACTTCCGGAGTGCTTCTATTGATTCTATTTCACTTCCTGGTTTTTGTGGTTTGTGTGGCAACCTAAACCCACGGGACTCCCTTCAGAAGAGTCGCGAATGCTAGAAATCTGGTGTTGGGCTCCGTCTAATGAGCAAGCTGGGGCCTGTAAAATGCAAGCAGCCTTTCCCCAACCCCACCCCCCCAGAAGAGACAATGTGTGGTCTATCATCCCTGATCGACTTTTGTCGTTCAGTCCGTAACACCTGAGCCGCCTCAGTGGCTCCGAGGCAAAACCTATCCCCAGTTGGCGGGTTCGAATCACGGCTAAAGTGCTCACAGTCTGAAAGAGGCTTATTGTGGAGAAGACATCGTAGAACCGAGATTTCGGTTGCACATCAAAAGATCCTTACGTGGTCGAAATTGATCCTCGGGCATTCGCTGGGACGTGCCAAATGCCTTTCGTTGGTTTGGCTCATAAAGCCCCCAAATTTGGCTTTGGGTACTCCAGTTTGCGCTTGCCTTCTTGGGCATGCCATTGAAACAAGAGTCTTAAAATAAGCAGCATCTATTGAGCTTCTGGCACAAGGTGAATTGACAGTAAATGACTACTTCGCTTCGAGAGCATACGCCCTTCCATTTAAACTTTAAAAATCTATTTGCAGTTTCTCTCCGACTTCAAATTCTTAAAACTAGGCACATGGTCCAACCTTCCCCCCCCCCCCCCCCCCCGAACAATCCTGCTCCGGAGAGAATGAACACAACCCTGTTACATGTGCAAACAGGGAGCCTGGTCTCTACAGAGCATTCTACGACCTTCTTAGCTTTCACCACCCCTCCTTCTTGCGTTGCACCTGCTTCATCTTTTTCATTGCCCGATGCAAGGTGCTAAGGGGCAAGGGGGAAATCTAGAGGACTAAATGGCAAGGTGTGCCAGCGGGCCAATACAGTATGCAAGCGCGTGTGCTATTTGCACACTACGAGGCTTGTTTGCTCGTTACATGCCCTCGCACAAGCTCGTTTCTGTTCTCTCTCGATCAGTGATGGAGCTTGCTTGGGTACCTTGTTAGTGCATACCCTCTGCATGCTGCACGGCACGGCGAGAATGCGACATCCGACGCTTTCTCTCAGTTTGCTCAGAGGTGATGACCTTCAGAACGGAGCTTCTCAACACAGAATGTCTCTAACATCATACAGTTGAGCATCTCAATGGACTACCATAGAATACTGCGCATTCGCCTATTCCACATTAAGCGCCCATTACCAAACTTGTGAGATCTGAGAAAATGACCACAGTACATTTATATGTAAAATTGATGACCGGACAAGTGCCCATCCTCCATTGTTTTGCAATTATCTCCAAAGTTTGAGTGGGCGCTTGCCCGGTATTTTACGGTAATGTCCATTCACGAGGCATTTAGCCAGGAAATAAAGTAAGCAATAGAGGTGCATCCCTGTTTCACTTTCTCCTTCGAGCCGATATGCTTTTCTAGAACCAAATATGCCTATCACATAAAATATGCTATCCACAATTGTATCCAACATACATAGAGTTTCTGAGGTGAAGGTAAAGATGTGAGGTAATCTGAAGTGAAGGCAAGATTAAACCAAGGCTGGAGCAGCTTTATGCCAATAAATGATTTTGACCTACTTTCATCCCACCTCCCTCCCCTCCCCCAGGAAATGTCCCCGCTTATGTTCCTTCCTGAAACTATAGTAGTGATACGAGAAACTATTGGGTCATTGGTCTCCCTGATGAGCAAGTGGTCACAAAACAATTTAACGGCCTCGTCTAGGCAGGGATCATTATAAACCTTTTTCATTTAATAGGCTTGGAACAGGAAAGAGGTTTCGCTTATTTGAGCTGGTTTACACAACAAAAAGATGAGTGATATTCTCATTTCTTCCCTATCTATTTAAAAAAAAAAACAAAAAAAAAACAGCAGTCTGTGTTGTTAGGGAGAATTTCCCGGTGTGGCTTTTGTTTAGTGTGAAGTAAAAGTGGGAGTGCATATCTTTTCCTAATGGATTGTGTGTTCAGGTGGAACAGCATACTTTAAGCCAAAGCCTAAAAAGATAAAAGAAAAAAAAATGTTGGTGGCCAGTCTGCACCTACAGTTCTCACCCCTTCTTCCAGGACCCCTCCAAAGGGGATGTGGCATCAAGCTTGAAACACTCCATCGTTCCTCTTCTGAAATCGTCGTAGCATAACTAATATATGCATCAAGTTTCACAATTTTCGGGGCTCTAGTAGTTACACAAATGAATTATGAAACCCCAACTGCAGCTCGTTACCAGGCAACCGTGACACAAGTGATGTAACTCGGTACGTTCCCTCCATTGTTTTCTTCTTGGGATTGAGCATTGCTCGTGGTCTTTAGCAGGAAATAAAAGGTCAATCCGTACCAATGATTTCTTTTAACTGTGGCCGACTCGCCAAGTGGCTGGAGCAGCTATACCGGATTCAAAGTGGAACTAACATTCTATTTGCGACAAACATTTAGGAAACGAATACGTCTCAGCTGCACGGTTGATGCAGATTGCAGTTCCCGTGTGGCACGACCTCCTCAAAGGGGCACTAAAGTGGATTTTGGGATCATCTCTTTATGGCACAGAGTCCACCTATGCGCTTTAGCCATCCTAGAAAACCCCAAATTACAATCGTGCATGGCCTCTTTCCCCGTTAGAGACACGTCACTACGTTGTGGCACGCCTCTTTTCCTGAAATGTGTCTCGGAAAGTGCAAAGAAATGCATTCTCCGACTCGGTTAATTACGGAAGCTTCGGGCTGGTTAACAGGTTTGTTTGGCTGTGCCGAGCGATCCTCAGTCCTCCGCTGGGGCGTGACAGATGCCCGCCGTTGGTTTGGCACGTAAAACCCCCAAATTTGACTTTGACTGTGCCGAGCGTGTTGTCATCTCTCGTAACTCGCCGGTTACACTGGCGCAATCGTTTGGGCAGCCCTGAAACCTGCGTATAAATTTGAATAATTTTTTACGCATCATTTGTTTGCTGTGGGCTCGAAACAATTTTGACATTGTCACGTGCTACCATTTCTCGTAGATGGCGCGTAAATTTGATCTCACGAATACTGCAAAATATTAAGTTTTGTGAAGAAAGGTAAAAAACACAGGCGAGCTGGTGAATGATATCCATAGTAACCCTGAGACATAGGAAAAATAAAAAAAACGAACAGTACAACGAAGTCTCTAGCACAGCTTGAAAATTTATTTAACAACCATCGTCTTATATACATGTCACCAACACAATTCAAAAGACTTCCTCGCCCATTTCACAGTGTACCCTCACCCTCAACAAATACCGACAAACGCGCACAAAAGCAAACACGCCCGAAACACAAAGGGACATTGACTCGAAAAGGGAATGCGAGAACTTCCGCACTTGGCAAGGTCAAACTAAACCCAACAACACTTACAAACTTTTTTGTTCCCCTATGAAGAGACAAGGTAGTCTGAAAAAGAAACCATAAAAAACCACACCTAAAGGAAGAGAAGAACCCAAACCACAAAACAATTAACTCATCACTTAACAAAAAAAAAAAAATATATATATATATATATCAGGGTGTCGAACCGGAACCGAACCGAAAACCGGAACCGAACCGGTATTTTTTCCGGAACTGAACCCGAACCTGAACCGTTATATTGTTATCGCGATGAACCCGAACCGGAACTGAACCGGAAAAAAAATAACGGTTACCGGCTCATGTCAAAACGATTCGGCCACGCGCTGTTGACAATGAATGTGCTATCAATGCCATTTGTTTTTTAAGTGCCGTCAACTGACACACACCTCGCTGACATATTTTTCTTCTCCACTCAGTTTTAGGAATATAAACGCTGCATCCATGAATCTTGACAAACGCTGCATCCATGAATCTTGACATAGGAACCAGCATTGCGCTGGTCGCGGCTTGCACGGAAGAAAAAGAATTGGAAGGCTGTGCAAAAAAAAAAAATCGCGTCACGGGATTTCATTTTCCTACAATCTCGTAAATCCTAAATGCTGCTGTGTACTCATTTCATAACACGTTTCTAGAACGCGAGAGTTCTTGAAGCTTCCTTCCATCGGAATGAGAAAAGAAAAGGCTGTGGAGTTTGATAATAATGCATCCGGTTTCTTATAGGCACTTAGAAGCTAACATATTTGTGAGACAGCGAACTCTTCCATTTTAATATTTATCCTATTACGTCCTTCTGGTGTTGCGTTCGGTAAAGTGTTTTTCATATTCCCTATCTTGTTTAATGAAAACTTCTTTAAGGGTCTAATTTGAGTTACCGAAGGCTAGCTCAAATAAAGAAAGCTGTATTTTCCCCCCACTGTTCCTTCAATTGCTTACACGCCGAGGTGGCGGGATAGTTAGCGAGTTCTACTTGTAAGTGGGTTTGTAAGGAGGTCGCGGATTTTACAGCTACTGCGTCCGACCCAATTAGATGAAGTCCGAATGCGTAAACGTCGGTGAGGTAACCTTTGCGTGCACATAAAGAAACCATTCCTGGTAGAAATCCCTGAGCCTAACACTACGATGTATCCCGTTTCGTATGTGCTGATTTCAGATGTTTTATTTGTAATTTATTTTGATGTTGCAATTTGTCATTTATAATTTCCGAACCGGTTCGCGAACCGGTTCAGCGCCCCGAACCGGTTCGCGAACTGGTTCGCGGATCGAATTAATCGAACCGGAACTGAACCGGAACAAAATAAAATTACCTGAACCTGAACCGTAACCGAACCCATATTTTTTTCGGTTCGACACACTGATATATATATATATATAAACCTAGAAACTTTTTTGTCCCCTTATCAAAGGGTAATGAAGGTTGACTGATACAGTTCCCGAAGCTTACGAAAAAACACCGGGATTCAGCGGTGCCTTGTCAGGAAGAGGTCGTATATAATATTCCTCTGCGTTGCGGGTTTTCCTACATAGGACAGATTGGTTGGTGTTTAAACGATCGTATAACGGAGCACAAAAACCGGTTGAAAATAATGCACCGGACTCTGAAATTGCTAAACATGTAGTCGAGTGCAACAACTGTGTACCAGAGTGGGAGGGCACTGAAGTTTTACATAGAGAGAAGAACAGCCATTGGAGAGCGTTAAGAGAAACTTTGCATATTTTAAGCTTTGGGAACTGTGTCAGTCAACCCTTCATTATCCCTTGATAAGGGAAAAAAAAGTTTCTGGGTTATAATTTTTTTTTTCTTTTGTTAAGTGATGGGTTAATTCTTTTGCGGTTCGGGTTCTTCTCTTCCTTTGGGTGTGGTTTTTGTGGTTTCTTTTTCGGACAACCTTGTTTGTCTCTTGATGGGGGAACAAAAAAGTTTTAGTAAGTGTTGTTGGGTTCAGTCTGACCTTGCCAAGTGGGGAAGTCCCTGCATTCCCTTTTCGAGTTAGTGTCCCTTTGTGTTTCAGGCGTGTTTGCTTTTGTGTGCGTTTGTCGGTACATGTTGAGGGCGAGGGTACACTGTGAAGTGGGCGAGGAGGTCTTTTGAATTGTGTTGGAGGTCGGTGACATGGTATATAAGACTATGGTTGTTAAATAAATTTTCAAGCTGTGTTAGAGACTTCGTTGTACTGTCCGTTTTTTTATTTTTTCCTACGTCTCAGGGTTACTATGGATATTAAGTTTTGTGTTTGTCCTTTGTCCCCCTTGTTCCCCTTCTCCAGAGGTTATTTTTGTCATTCTTGTTCATCTCGCTTGCACATTTGCATTTAATTGTATTGCCATCACAAGTCTAGTTGTACATAGGTTGGAAGTGTTCCAGGTCTGCTCAGTAGATGGTGCCAGTGTGCCAGTGGTTAAAAGAAATCGTAACACAATAGGCACAGTCAAGTGCAGATGTATCAGGCAGCCTCTAACCTCGGGCGCTCTTGGATCCCTGTCTAAAGAGAGCTGCGCAGGGCGAGCGAAACGACGCACTTTCGGCACCCATTCCGGCTAGGTGAAAGGAAGGGGCGCAGTCTACGAGGAAGAAAAAAGTCTCGCGTCGTGCGCGACGTTTTGCACCTACTATTTGGCTGAACTTCATCCGAATGACCGTCATGGGACACATGGAAAACGTTTCCTCTGGCGACGGCACTGCCCTTTCGGTGCATTCCCGTCCCCGACGGGGGCCCTGCAGGAGTTGCAGACTGCCCTCTTGCCCGCAGATGGCCCATCGGAGCATCGTGCGGACCAGCAAGTTCCGACACGTGTTCGGCCAGGCCCTGAAGCGGGAGCAGTGCTATGACAACATCCGCATCACCAAGCAGTCATGGGACTCCAACTTTTGCGCCGTCAACCCCAAGTTCCTGGCCATCATCATTGAGGCTGCAGGAGGAGGCGCCTTCATGGTGCTGCCTCTAAACAAGGTAGGTTGTCGCGGCAGTCTGAGCCGGCCTTGCCCCTGGCCCTGCCCGTGATCCTGCCCCTGACCCCACTACTGGCACTGTGGCCACGGCTGCCAAACTGCTTTCCCACAACCGTGAGAGCCGGCCACGAGCTGCCTTCGAGTTTTCTGCACTTTTTGGCAGATGGCAGCAGTGCCATTGTTGTTTTGCCCCCCTCGGGTCACCTGGTTCTTGTCTGTTAATGTATTTTATATATTTATTTATTGCAGTACCCTCAGGGCCCAGTGGGCACTGGGGTAGGCAGCTGAACGCAGTAAAGTACACATGAGTAGGAATTAAACGCAGTAAGGTTTTAAATCTAACGAAGGTGTCAATAATAGTTATGTGGGCGGGTGGTTCGACCCTGTTGATGTCCTAGGTACGAAGGAATTTTTAGAGTGAGGTGCAACAACGAGAAATGCCAACTTTGATCTGAGGATCGATGCATGAAGATATATAAAAGGGGTTGAGAAAGATTTTTTTTTTTTTTTTAAGGATAGGATTAAGCCAATATTGTTTCAAAAGAAGTTGAGGGTTTATGGAAAAGTTCTATCAATGTCTCAAAAGACAACATGCAGTCTGTACGTAGGGGTAAATTGAAATTGCCCAAAATCAGAGGTCCGCTTGAGCGATGAAGTCACGCAAAGACGTTCATTCGAAAGTGGCCAATGTTGTACCGGCTGTCCGATGATTTGGCAACGGGTGACAATTGAATGCACCTTTGAGACAATGGTAGTGTGTAGAATGCGGAGTAGCTTCATGTCCTCCAAATGTTATCATCTGTGTCAACATGGTCACCCTACTTACCGATTCTAACACACACTTTTTCTTGACAAAAACATACTTAAAAACTACCTGTACTTTAGAATCGGATATGAAACTAAACTATTAGGCATGTTGGAATCATTATTCCTTGGTATAAAAACTGTGTGCACATTATTATTAATAGCGGTGTGTTAGAACTGGATAATTATGATAGTGGACCCATCTGGTGTCCAGGAATCGGCATTGAGGGGACATTACGATTGAATTTCATATTTGACAGGGATGGGGGGCGAGCGGTTGGTCCCTTCAGACATTTAAGACCTTTTTATCAAACAATGGGGGGGCAGGGCAGGGACATCCCCCTCCCGTTGCCCTCCATCTCCCGAACACTTTTGAGGCTCCTGGATGCTGCCCTTTTACACATCTGCCCCCGCTTTTTGCTGGAGTTTCTTCTTTCGATAGCGAAAAAGATAGCTCTGTCTTTTGTTCGGGTTATCTTTAAATGCTTGACCTAGAAACCGAAGAGGGGACGACATTGTTTCATTCTTTTGAGATTAGGAAGGAAGACATATCGCGTTGGAAGGCTTTTAGGAGGAAACAAAGTATTGCGACTTGTGCCCGCATTTTGTTTCAGGGAGGAATCTTGTTTGACTCTTTAAAAGTTCTATGTTTCATGATCTTGGATACGATACAATTTTAAATTGCATGTTGGTTGCTGGCAACATCGATACTCGCAGAGAATCACCCGAAAGAATGTTGTGTCGGAAAATTAACAAATCAACCTCCCTAAGTTTGGATCATGTTACATTTCACTCTGGCTCCTTAAAATATACAGTGGAATCCTGTCGTTGTGTTTATCAGGGGATTGCGAGAAAGAAATGAATGATCAAGAAACTGTAGCAATCGCTAACACTTTTTGTGGCTTTTAGATGCAACAAAATTGTGCATTCTTTTTTTTTATTATCTGGAAATTTGCTGTTGTTTTGGCATCTGATGTGCCATTAAAATCTAAATCCATTCGAATTCATAAAGTGCTCAAGAGTTTATTTTGCGGATTGGATTTTGTTTTTCTAAAAATAATATGCTGTGGGACAGCAACAGCGAGAATAAATCATTGTCCATGGCAAAGAATAAAGTTCCTTAGAATGCACCCATGTGTACAATTAAAAAAAAAGTCGATTTGCAATAGTGCAGGGTTCATATGCAGTTGAGGCAAAGAATTGTATAATGTGATAGGTTTGAATTTTCAAATCTTTGGTTACGGGAGTTGCTTATGACACATTGCAACCAATCTCTCGCAGAGTTCAACAAAAAGGACACTTTAGGTGCTGTGTTTTTGTGAGAACTTCTTGAGTTTGCTGGCCAGCACAAGAACCTTAGAAGTGTATACATAGATGGGGCCAAAGCACAATTTTAATTCAAAATGTCTTATAGTGCTAGATTGGGCCAGTTGAGCGTTGCAAACGCTGCTAAATCTAGCGGGAAAACTTCCCCTGTAAATTTAACGGGGAAGTTTACAGACTGAGTGAAAATGCACTTTTGCATATTTCTGTCTTTATGCACAGGATAAAGAGGTTTACAATCCTTGTTAGCTTCTTCTTTATTCTTATAGCTGTGGAGTTTATAATGCAAGTTAGCACTAGTGCACCTGTCCCCAGCAGCAGGGCTTTGTGACCAGCTGTTGGCTACAGAGCATAGGACTTGCCACAAGTTACCCCTTAGTTTCGTCTGATTTACAGGTGCTTTTCAAGAACTTCCTTGCTGTTGAGGCCCATGAAAGCATAGTTGCAACAGCTAGGCACACTGCAGTGTTGTGTTGGCTCCCCAACCCTGTGAGCATCCCAGGCAGCTTGTGCTTGTGTTAGCATAGAGATCGATGCAGGTCATGTATCCCTCGCCGACTACGACACTTCTGTCGAGTGCATAAGGTCCCTGTGGCAAGTCGAATAGATCCGGGCCTACAACGAGATTTTTATTATTAAGCCGTCCTTGGACGAATCGGCACCGGGAATGTTTTTCCCGTGGAGTGATTCAATGCCTCAGCTCCTGGGTCTTCAAACTGGGTTTCAAACCTATGAGCTCAAAACTTCCCAAAGCATGCTTCTCCAGTTAAAGTACAATTTCAGTTGATTTAGGCCACCACGATTCATAACTAAGAGCCCAATTTTCGATAGTTTGTGCATTAACGTTTAGAGGGTCTTCAGCCGCACTCCTTTATGCCGAGACTCGAAGGCATTCCTCGATTGTCAGTTCAGAGAGCTCGGGGCTCCTCGAGATTAGAGAGTTTGAGAACCGCTGCCGCAGCTGGTAAGTGGTGGCGTTTATGTGGTGCACTCTTAACTAGTATCCGACTATAAAAAAATTTTGTCTCTTCCAATTTTAGGTGACTACCGAAGCTTCAATCCTTAGACCCATGGTGCGTAGTCCTTCCTAGAGTAACTAAATGGCAGGGCCAAAGTATGGCCTTCCTTTCGCCGCCAACGCCTCATTGGCAAAGAAGGGGTCACATGCGCCAAACTTGACTGCGGCGCTTGCGGGAAAGAACTTTTGCGGAGCGCCGGATTTGGGGCGGGACATATTTTTCGCTCTGCGTTCGTGAAATGTGGATTTTTCTCTGAGGCTTGACGAGCAGGAAGTTTCCTGAACCTTCGGACACCGTGTGTGCCATTTAGACACGTGTAACCGCATTCTTCTTATAATGAAAGCGCCGTTTCGGAGCGGCCACGCACAAGGAGACGACTCGGCACGTGCGTACACGGTGAGTCGCCGCCTTGCGTCGCGTCTCCTGCAAGAGCAACGGTCACTTCTCCCCGTGATGCTTGGAGTATAAAATTTGAGAGCGTTGCGATACTCTGCAAGTGGAGCACGTACGGTTACTCTAGTCCCGCCGTCGATGCCGCACGGCCTGAGCCGCCCTTGGGCCCGCTTGCAGACGGGACGGGTGGATGTGAACCAGCCGCTGGTGGCGGGCCACAAGGGGCCTGTGCTGGACATTGCCTGGTGCCCGTTCAACGACAACGTGATAGCGAGTGCCTCGGACGACGCGCTGGTGCGGGTCTGGCACATCCCCAACCTGGGGCTGGTGCGGCCCCTCACCGAGCCCCTCGTCGAGCTGCCCGGCCACGAGCGCCGCGTGGGGCAGGTCCTCTGGCACCCGTCGGCCAACAACGTGCTGCTCAGCGTCGGTAGGTGTTTTGCAGGGCTCGCGCTCTTCTTTCCGGGCCATCCCGGTCCAAACAGACGGTCCCCTCTACAGGATTTATGGTTCGGGCTTGCGGGGGGGGGGGTGTGGGGAGTCTGCGGAAAGATCCGAAGTTACGGACGGGTATGGTATCGCGGGCAAAGCGTTGCCCAGATCTATCTGGTTGACCTAATATTTGCCGTTTCACTAAAAAGCCAACATTTCTTTCTTAAATAGTTGGTATATTTAATTTCTTCTGTTAACGAAGTTGATGTTGGGGGGCTTATAGACCTTTCCAATGTTTACAAATCCACAGCTCAGCGTGCAATCTCTACAGCTCAGCACGCGCGTGTGCGTTGCTTCGGAAAGCGAGCAAATTACGCGCGATACGCACAAACATTGAAAATGAAACCGGCCAGCAGCCCTTTCCTGGAAAGGTCTATAAGTGGAGTAAGTATTTCCCTCCCCCCACTTCCCTCTTAATTCGCCCCTGCTTAACTATTGGCTTCGAGATGGACCTAAAGGTGGCACTACTGTTGCGCTATCATCATCATCGAAGCGGGAATAGAAGCATGGCTACCCCTTAGGCTCTCGACGTTAGCGCGCTAGACGGTGGTAGAATCTTGCGTTTATTTTGTCGCGTGGTGTTGGCTGGAAAACATTTTAGCGGAAAATTGTGCGGTTTCGGTGCTTCAGTCGAATCAAAGATAGAATCGTGCTACCAGTGTACGGCCTAAATTTTAATAATTGCTTGTGCAGATGCGTCTTCTGCTCTAGGCATACGTCTGGAGGCGTGGATCACCATGACCGATGCCTCTTTCCGGGTGAACTGTGCTATGTATGTTAAATATTTGTTTCTTTTAAAAGAGATCTGTCGGTTCACCGTCAACAAAACAAGGAATTCCAATCTGGATACTTACATAATACCGGTAGTGTGAGTTGTAGAATCTCAGAGTAAGGTTCTTGATAGGTTGAAAGGGTGGTTCCTCCTCGATGGTGTGAAGGAGGATGGCTTGCATTGGACGGTGGCGGTGGTGTAGCAGTTCGGGCCAGACAACTGTTTACGCAGGTACTTTTACAGAACAGTTTAATAAAAGACAATTTAACATACGGGATACAGGAATACAAACATTGACAACCCGAGCCCCGGACTTGGCCGTTGTTAGAGAGCGGCTCCTTTCTCTCCAGCGGTACCAAACCAAAGACCTCCTCCCTTTCTTTGTCTTGCCTGTGCTCTTATTGAGAGAAGCCTGTCCCTCTTTCCCATTTCCCCGTAAGGGTCAACATTCTCATCCGGCGCTCCGAGCCCAGGGCCAGACGGCGCAAAACGTAGGAGGCGCAGACGAGTCTGGTCCTCAGACACTACAAATCACCCCTGGCACTCCGAACAGCGGCTGGAGGGGCAGGTGCCAACAGACGAAGCACAGCGCCCGAGACACTTCTAGGGGAGCGATTGACACTTGTCAATGGGAAGCGACAAACGATTCTCAAAGCAAACACAACCCCAAGGGGTGGCACTGATCGACTACCAGAGAAAGACACTTAACCGCTGCCCCGCGACCCGCCCAGCTGCAGGCAGCCGAGCGGGTCGCGGAAGGCGACAGCCCGCCGCGCCGCTGCCTGTTCCCGAGTAACAAGACACCCTCACCGCAAAGGGGGGCTCCCCGCCCCGCGCACAAAGTTCTCCCGCGCAGAGGTCATTAACATCCCCTAGTGAACCCCACACGTCTCCCCCAAAATCGTCCGTGCAGGGCCTCCAGACAAAGTAATACACCAAAATAAAAGGTTCCCGAACCTTACACTCAAGTTCTATGCACTTTTTTCTTGTGCAACTTTTAAGTTTCGCAGTAATATAAATATTTTGCATGGAGAGGTTACTGCTGGACCAGAAATTAATGTGCTATTGCTAGCTCCTTCGAGTAAGAGAGTTTCGCTGCAGCCAATGCTTCCCTTTACTATGCCACAGCGTAGGTAAGTTTTTCGGAGTTGGAACAATTGCGCTACTTTGCGACAAGGAGAGAGTGCCTCTCACGTTCGTCTAGTTACGATCCGCAAGCTGTTTGTCTGCGGGACAACTGAGACAAGCGAAACAAACTGTTCTAGTATAATAAACGAGCATGACTGGCCAACGGGGTGGCATGGTATTATTAAATGCTCTTCTGGGTAGTACGGGTTCGCCCGCCTCAATTTTCTCAGGGAGGGCAGTGGATGTCAAAAGGCTAATATCATAAATTTCTAGCTAAATCATTGTCTATATAAATGTAGTAGACTCTGCAGCTCCAACGAACGACTCGCACCACGACACACCGCATCGGCCGCAGCGACCCTCACAAGATCTTCCGATAACCCTCTGCCCTAACCCAATGCATATGTGGAGTCGGCAGTTCATCGATTAACCTTCAGATTATGTCAGCGATGCTTTAATTGCAGTAAATTATTTTTCACCGTTTAATCAGTCTTCTGCTGGAAAAAAGTTGGGGTGAGAAAAAAAGGTAAAAAATGTCTGCTTTAACCCTTTAAAGGGACAATGAAGACAATTTTATTTAATTTTTTTAAATGGTGTTTTTATGCTTCTAGGAAACATAGCATGCTGCCCAATTTTTTGTAGACATTTGTGACGCATATTTTTGTGCCTACGAAAGAAGTAAAGAAACCAAAACTGAACAATCTCCATTCTCGTTTCTGGGCCTCCGAAAACGGAGGTGACGTAGGGAGTGACGTCAAGTGTGAATAGTCGGTATTGGTGGCATTTAGGAGATCGAGAGTCCGGTTACCGCGGTGGGTTATAGCAGCGCGGTGGCGCGGTCGTTTCGCCGAATCTGTCAACATGGACGGCAATGCCACTTTCGCAAGCGAGTTTGAGCTTCCGTTCAGTGACCGAACACCAGTGAAACGGGAGTATGTGTGTGGCGGCCTCTGCCATCACCCGACGGAGACCACACAGAGACCGCCCAGCCGGCAACCTGCAGCCCGCATGCCGAAGGACGGACGCGGAGGAGATGCGGAGGGGAAAGCGGCAGCGATCCGGCCGTTCCGGGATCCGGTTTCTCCGCGGACATCCTCTTTTCGTCGTCAAAGAACACAAACAGTAACCCACACGTGAAAACTAGCGTCGCCCGAACGAATAGGGAGTTTTCGTAGATCGTTTTCGCTGTCCCGCAAGGCCCATCGCAACCCGCTACGATAGCGGGAACTCCACAGTCAAGGCTATCGGCGCGTAGGCGCAGTAGCAACTTCTTAGTTGCGGAGCGCTTAGCGGAGGGGGCAGCGCGGTCTACGAAAACTCCCTAATACTGGTCTTCAGTCGACCGTTAGAACAGCCATCTACAGCTACAATTATGCAGAATCCTTCGAGTACCGTGTTCTTTTTTATTTTATTTTGTTTGCCCATAGTTGCTCGTCGCCCCTTTCGCGTCCAGCGTAGCAAAGAAGAAAAAAAAAAAAAACATTGTGCTGCTTTATTTACGGTTTAGTAATCATTTCCGGTCCGATTTATACTTTTCATGGTTATTCACGCGGAAATTGGAACAGTATTCCTAAAAATCGTGAACCAAAACGTGACCGAGGGCATATTTCTCATTTCGACCAATCGCTGACGCGTCTCTTGTGATGTCGCGCTTCTTGGCCCCACATCGGTCACGTGAGCTCCGCTTCTCCTGGCTTCTCCCGCAACTCTCGGGGCGTCGCCCCAGTCGATCCCGGTAGGATTATTACTGCGACTGTTTAATTGATTTGCGCGGCACAAAAGCGCCGGTTTCGGCTGAAATTTGGGCAGCGTCACCTGAGACGTGCCTGGAACCAAGTTCAATCGCCAAAAAGATGTCCGAAATTGCCTTCATTGTCCCTTTAACCCCCATATTATTTCCAGAAAAATACACTGAATTTCTCGATTTTGTCTTTATGTAGGTGGTCATAATATTTTTTTTTAACATCTTTCTGATTATGAAAATATATTACTTGATCGTTTTCTGGCTAGAATTAACACAAACACCTTTAAAAAAAGATCTGCTTTTAAGGGCAGCTTTCCCTCAACGCACGTGATAGTAATGGGGTACAATGCACTGAATTGCGCCGTATATCTTTGAGCTGACACGCCGTAACAAACAGTGGAGTGTGTAGACGTTGCTTCGTACTGGCGGCGAGTGTTCGATGTTTATGCGCTGCCAGATTAACCTAACACTACCACGCCACATTCAGAGAAGGTCTAAGGAAGTGTATTTTCTTAGTTTTTGACGTGCCACAGGTTCAGATAAGCGAGGCACGGTTTCTATAGAAACTTGTATGTTTCCGCCGGCCCAGAGGGCAGAGTTTGGGTTGTTGTGGAATGTCCGTCCTGACCGAGCTCTGCTGGGGCCCTATGCTACACGGTGGGACCAAGTGGTAACGGGACAACGCCGTCTGCTGCAATTGGCTGGAAACACGCCACTGACCAATCGCAGCAGGCGGTTTTGTCCTGGTTCCTCTGTCTTGCTAGGGCACAAAGTTTCCTCGAGCTGGCCAGCGACGGAGGGAAAAGCCGCATACTCATCGCTGTCGTCGTGTGCAGGGCAGGACTGCAAGATCATCATCTGGAACGTGGGGTTGGGGGAGATCCTGTCGGTGATTGACCACCCGGACGTGGTGTTCAGCTGTGCCTGGAACTGGGACGGCAGCCGCATCGTCACCACCTGCAAGGACCGCAAGATCCGGGTGTACAACCCGCGCTCGGGCACCGTCGAAGTGGTGCGTGCTGCCAACCCGTCCGCCCCGGAAAGGCCCCGTTGATCCGGTCAATCTCCGGGCTGGTCTCGTCTGGATTGATGGGCGAAAGAGCCGCACGAATCCGGGTGGCGTCCGACAAAGGGGCTTTAACCGTCGAAGCGGCATTAAAGCCTCTTCCCCAAAGTTTAGTTTTTGCGAAATTGCGACTTGGAGTCAAGGGTTCGGAATCGCCTTCCCAAGTGGCTGCACACGCTGCACCTGGGAAGAAGTACCGTATAAACTCGTGTAAGGGTCGCATTATTTTTTCCCGATTTGAGGGAAACATTTAAGATGCAACCCATACACACACAAAAAAAAAAAGTCTGTATCCACAGTTCGAAATGAACGTACTTGAGTGCACTCGGCTCCACTGGTCGGAAACGCATACACTCCGGAGTCCGGACTCATTCGTCAGTTAGAGTTAATCAGTTTACGTACTGCGCTCTACACATTTTTTTTTTCCGTACTTAATGGCATGAGCGGCAACTTTCGGCTTGAATCCCGTATGACTGTTGAAATGGTACTTGCCCATAGCTCTCAGATTGCGCGAAAAGGCAGGCAAATCACGACGCTTTGACACGAATCGAAGTACAAGAGGAAACCTCCCCAGAGCGTATGGTGGCGTTCGGAAACCTGAATGCGCGCGCGAGCCGAGCCTGCTGAATTCCTCGCGCTTGCCACGGGACCTGACATTTATCTCTTCTCAATGCCTTGCCGCAACCTAAATGCACCCCGACAGTGCGGCCGACCACGACCGAGGGTGACAGCCATTACGCCATACGGTGATACGAGAATAATTTCTGTAATCCTTTTTTTTGCAATACTTTGTCCTAAATACGTAGGTGCGGCCCTTACACGAATGCGGCCCTTACACGGGTGCGGCCCTTACACGCGATTATACGGTACTTTGGGAGTAGAGAGGAAACATTCTGCCCTCGTGTGAACAATTGGTTAAAAAAAATAAAAGCCGTTTACAACTCCCTGTAACACCGAATTAGAGCGCAGCTCTTGAGGAGGAGGAGGGAAGGGTACTGAAGTTGACGCGTTCTCGGGGGGGGGGTCACGTGATTTTGGGGGTCACGTGACCTGGGGGTGTCACATGACTTCGGGGGTCACGTGACCCCCCAGAAAAAGTTCCCCACTAAATCTAGCGGAAAAATTTTCCGCTAGATTTAGTGGGGAAAATTTTTCACTAATTTAGCGGGGAAATTTTTCCGCTAGATTTAGCGGGGAAATTTTCCCCGCTAAATCTAGCGGAAAATTTTCCGCTAGATTTAGCGGGGAAATTTTTCTGCTAGATTTAGCGGGGAAATTTACCCATAATGCACTGCGCGGTTACGCCGACGGCGACGCCGACGCCGCTCAAGCCGGAAACGGGCGCCTAAAAGCTGCGCTCTAAAAACGCTATGAACGGAACATGCTTCAAAGGTCTAGTTGTGCAATTCAACAACTGCAGTCCAACGAGCTTGTTTTTCTTTTTTTTTTTTTGCTGGAAGAAGCGCATAGGGAACACAAGGTTTTGAAAGAAAGCTTTGCGACATGCACGGAGGCGACCGCGACGGGACTGGGGTCCACTTGGCCTGCCTTTTTCTTGCGGGGTCGCGCAGGGACACACCGGTTACTCCCGAGCCTTGGAAGGGCGATTTCGAGGGCTTCGTAGCTTTCATGCATGTTGCCGACACCGCTTCTCCGTCCCACTTTCCAGGAAGACTTTGGGCACGAGGGGGCCAAGCCCCAGAAGGCGGTGTACCTGCGGGACGGCCTCATCTTCACCACGGGCTTCTCGAGGATGAGCGAGCGCCAGTACGCCCTCCGGGTCGAGGTGGGCACGCTCCCGGGGCTCTGCATCCCAAATTCAATCTGCCGGCATGCGGCCAAGCTCTGTTTTGTAGACTTTGGATATCTGGACGTGCCGCTCGACGAAGTAACCGAATGCGGCGGTTCCAGAGGTGCTTACTAAGAAGGCACAAACAAAAAGGGAAACTAAAGTTCCATTGTTGCAGTCTCCTGACACATTTTTCGTCGCCCAATTTTCATAATTTTTAACAGGGTTCCCCAGTCGTTTCTAGTTTGGAGATGATGCGAAACTTGGTAACGTGTTTCATACTATGCAGTTATGTCTTATTGATGTGAACACCTCCGTTCCCTGCAGGAATTGTCTTAATGTTAGTCGTCCAAATTAATGAGTAAAAAATGTTTGCATTTTTTTCAGTTTGTTTCTGAAACTTGTGCGGGGTATTCATGTTAGCGGGCTCCATATTAACAAGGGATGTGATTTCGCACTCTGCCATCCACTAAGCTGACAGGGCGTTGGAAGCTATGGGCCGATTGGACCAGTCAGCCACCACCAGATCCCACTTTCTGTGCAAACTGTAGTGCAAAGAGTGGAGTCCAGCTATGAAAGCAGGCATTTGATTGGCCCGACAAGAATGAAGCTTCTACCGCCCAGGCAACTTAGCAGTGAACGAAGCATAGTGACCTTTTAGCATGGTCTCTAGTGCCGAGGGATACCGCATGACAAGTTTTGCCTTATATTTGGCCCTAAATAGTAAGAACCGCACCGAGGGTTTTAAGAAACTGTCAAAAACCAGGGACGACGGCCCTCAAGCGTCTTGCAAAACAACCTGAATCGAACCAAGTAACAGGCCGCTCTGAAAACGTAACAAAGTAGCAGTTGGTATTAAACATTTCTTGCAACTCGAAAGGCGTTCCAATCCTTAAGGTTACAGCGGCTTGGCCGACCGTTCTGTTGGAGTTGGGTGCTGAACGGTGTCTCTGTGTGTGCAGTCCGAGCTGTCCCAGCCGGTGATTCTCGAGGAACTGGACACGAGCAACGGGGTGCTGCAGCCTTTCTACGACCCAGACGTGAACCTGCTCTACCTCTGCGCCAAGGTGGGCCCAAACCCGCTTCCTGGCACTCTCTTGCACAAGGCGCAGTTTTGACCTTTGGAGTCGGTTGGGCTGTGGCGCTGGCGACTGGCATCAAGGCACAGCCAGACTGTGCATTTGGCATGTAAAAACAGGGTTCCGAGGGGCTCGAATTTCACTCGGGTCTCGTCGGCCAAAGAGTCCATGGCACGGCGAACGAGTGAAAACTCTGCGCTTGAAGTACGGTTGCCGGTCTCGCATCGAAGGACGGAATCATTGTCAAGCGAGTCGTTCCGCTCCAACAAAACTGTCATGTGCATCGGTTAAAAAGTGCAGAATGTCAGTGGTAATCTCTAAAGAAACTGCATAAGCTGCTTTACAGTCGACTTTTAACCATCGCTGTCCTTGTCGTTGCTGAGCAATGATATAACCTTTGTGGCACAGTTTCGTTGCTTAATTGACAGCTAAAAAAGATAAAGCCCAAAAGTTGTTTACGGGCCACTGAGCTACATTTTTCGCGCATGTTAGTTTGGAGGCATTGCCATGGTTCTTGGGGTTCATTTGATTTTATAGAGGAGAGAAGACAGCCATTGTAAACCTTTTTTTGTGACATCCTCACAAAAGCTTTCTTTTCTTTATTTTCTTGGATTTATTTTGGCAGGAAACATATCTAACCCTACGACCTAGGTCTGTTTATTGAGGCCAGTTCTTTCTTTTTTTTTTGAGAAGCACGTGCAGCACCCAGCTGCACCTCACCTCGTCACTAAAAAAAAGGGCGACCCCACGTCTCGGCTTGCCCTTTTTTCTGCGTCGTCGCGCGACACGCGACCTGCCGTAGCGACCCAGGATCCGTTTGAGCGAGATTCCAAACGCTGCAGACGGATGACGGGGTGTCCCTTTTTCTGTCCGTGCAGGGGGACAGCAACATCCGCTACTTCGAGGTGACGGACGAGCCGCCGTTTGTGCACTACATCAGCACCTACCAGTCGACGGAGCCCCAGCGGGGGCTGTGTGCCATGCCCAAGCGCGGATGCGACGTCCACCAGTGCGAGATTGCCAGGTGGGGAAGGCTCACCCTCTTCTCTTTCGGTTGCAACCTCCGCATGCATAATGCGGGGACGGACTGCGGAGACCGACCTGCCCGCGATCGGCAGGCGCAGATTGTGCGTGAAACGCGGGCCAAGCGACTGCACATGCAGACGTGTAGTTGCTGTTGCACGATGCGCATGAAAAGAGCTTGGGTTAGCGGTCACGCTACACTGGCTAGGAACTCGTTGAGACATTTGTATGTATCTGCGATGCATTCGGCTACGCCGCATTACATTTTGACAGTTCAACAGGAGCTCACTTACTAAGCATTCATTCTGTTACGTTGTCTAATGCGGGCAGCACTGTTCCATTGCCCAAAATGCAGGAAAGAAGGCATCATTCAATGCAGATGACAACCAGTGGGAAACTGCTCGTAATGGTTGCAATTGGTCAACAGCGAGTGAAGTTGTGTGGTTTAAAGTACAGTAGGCTCGCGATAATTCAAGCTCAATTATTTCGTACTGCCGGTTAATTCAAACAGATTTGAAAATTTTGTTTGTCCCGCTATGTTTTTTAATGTATTTATAAGCCGCTTAATTCGAACGGCGTTTTTGCTTAATTCATACTTTTTTGTTCTCGCAGCCCCATTCAGTGTGCTTCCTTCCGAGCATCGGCACCGAGCAGGGCAGCAATACCCACAGAGCTTGCTTTCGCAAGTGTTGCTTCTCCGCAGTGCACCGGTGCTCGGAAAGAAGCGCACTCAACGGGGCTCAAGCGGGCACACATTAGCGGAAAATGGCGTTCACATTATATGCTTCAAGACTTGCAATGATGACCAAGACGACATTGAGGATGAGGAGCAGCTCATTGGCATTATGCTTTCTGGCCTTGAAACACATATTGTGAACGCCGAGCTGGCGGAATATGCTAGTCTTGATGACGATGTGTGTGTTTGTCGTGATGACTCATTAGAGGACATAGTACAGGAAGTAATGCCAGCACAGTGCAGCTGTGAGAGTGAAGATGACGATGAAGAAAGGGATGACCCACTACCAACTGTCACAGCCGCGGAGGCCTTTGAGCACATTGCTCAGCTCCGGAAGTTCCTGTCTGCAAAGGAAGAGTCCCATAAAGAGCTACTTGCGTTGGCTGGTATTGAAAATTTTGTTTTGAGATCTCATGTGCTGACTAAACAGTCCACAATCGACAACTTTTTTGCCGGATGCATAAACTTAACGTCACAGTTCTTTCACCAATGTGTTATGCCTGTACTTGCTTATAATTAGGCCTATGTAGAGGAAACTGGCAAATATCTGCTTTGTATGTGTAGCTATCCATGTAACAAATTATAATGTTGTTTAGTATCATATTTAGATGAATTTCTGATAATTCAAACTAAAATCTGTGACTTCTAGGAGTTTTAAATAATGAGAGTCTACTGTAACACTGCACTCCTAGCAACGTAAACTGCGTCGTTACCTTCCTTTAAATACAATCGTGCAAATCTGAATATGAGTGGCGAGACAAGCGAAACTCGTGTCTGTGATCGAAGCACGGGGGACTTTACTAGGAGGGATGCGACATTGCATGACGTGTTGCTGCTGCGTAGGTGGGGCCAGCCAGACACACGAGTATGTAAGTTGTTGGGATGGACCGTCCCAGACACTTCCTAGCGGTGGCGCAAGTAGTCGTATATAACACTTGTAATCAGTGGACCGTCACCATCCTTACCGTCAACCCCACTAACTTAATTTTAATCGTTGTCACCACTTTCTGTCGCGAAACTTTGTTAGTATGGGCTGCCTGCCCTTCAGAGGTGCTGCGACTCTCCTGTGCAGAAACAATACACATGGTATTTTTACCATGCACACGGGTGAAGCAAAATCAGCTGGTAGAAAGCTTACACCACTTTCGCCAGTGCAGAGTTTACGGTAGACGAATACGCAAATAATAAAGTTGGTTAACTGAACTTTATCCTTCTGCACATGTCGACATTGCTTTACGCACCGTCCGGCAATAGCGATTATTGTTCCGACCTGTTGTCATCCGGTCAAACATTCGGCCGCAGTCGAGTTTTGAAAAAGGTGACAATCAAACAGTCGTCGAATTGAACAGGAATCGGATCCGAACAAGTTCTAGTATTTACGGTTCAGAACCCAGTCTCTGCCTATCCGTCTCGACATTTGGCTTCCTCTACTTCCCCTCGACGCAGGTTCTACAAGCTGCATTCGAAAGGCCTCTGCGAAGTGATCTCGTTCACAGTTCCACGAAAGGTGAGGGAAAGGGTGGTTGTATCATGCAGTCCCTGTACTATGCACTATTAGCCGTCTGTGCTGTGTCGTGCAGTCAGTGCTGCCCCCTGTCTACAGCTACATAAGCAATGTGAACATACCTTTCTTCAGTTTTGTTTGGTAGCGCCCCCTGCACCCCTTTGGATTATTTCTGGGGCGTCAAGTCTCCATCCCCCTGAGTTGTTCCTTCGATAACTTCTTGTTGTTGGTTCCAAATTGGGGTGACCAGACGTCTTGTTTTGGCCGGGGCGTTTTAGAGGCGCATTTCTGCAGTCCTGTCGTTTTTTTCTCAATTAAGCCTCAGGTCCCGCTTTTGTGAGAATGTGCGTGTGTAGTTGCAAAATTAGTGCTAAGCGAGTGGAAGAAATCTAAAAGAATACATAATACATATTATACTAATAAACATGCTGTTTGTTTGGGGCACTTTTCCATATTAGTGCAGTAGCGTTAAGATGCTCGTGTTGCAGAAAAGCCGGCGTCGGTGGCATCGTGATGGGAAAGTCCTGATTGGTCGACGGGGCCAAGACGTCACAGCCACATGACCTCGCGCGAGGACTTTAAACAACCCACAACATACCTGTGAAAAGTGACGTCCCGCGTAGAATGAAAGTGATTAAAAAACATGACATGTACCATATTTACACAATTGTAAGTCGAGCCCCCGCACATTGCACATCAGCAAAAAAAAAAAAAAGAAAATCTCTAGCGGCGAGTTTTACGGCAAAACAGCTTCCAGCATGCGATCTATGCTTTCTGGCGTGCTTTGGCTGTGCATGCACGCGGCGCATGAGATGCCCAGGCATTATCGAAACTAGGAAGCTCACGCCGGAGGCGGGACAACTAAAGCTGCTCCCTCTCGTTCTTGCTCTGTCCGCAACTAGAGACTACGATTGGTCCGCACTGGTGATGTCGGTCCCGTCATCATCACTGCTACGTTCTCAAAGCACGTCGTCGGCGTCGTCCAACGAAACCTCGCACTTTGCAAATGACAGCATGAACCGCATCTTCCGCGCTTGCTCGGCGATCGCGTCGCACGTCAAGGATAGGGACCCATTGTGCACTTTTGCGACGTACGTTGCAAGTCTGACCTCCAACTCTATGAGGCATCCCCACCTATCCAGACTTTGGCCCGCAGAAGCATCTTCGTTTGCCGTCGCAGTTAAGATTCCGCGTCGTTGCAGACTCCACTGGAGCACCACCCACTCCTACGGGTCAAACTTGCATCCAGCAGAGCCATTTTTGGTTGCCTCTGTATAAACAATGGCCAGAAACGAGCATTGAAAACCTAAACTGCCCGGATCACGTGTGTCGATAAACAAAATTGTAGTTTGTGCTCCAGCATGATCTCGACACTCAATCAAACGAAGCCGCGGGGGGCGAGGCATGAGGCTGTTCCAGCGGCCATTCTCGAATAGCTCTTACAACAGGTGATGCCACCCACGAGCACCGGGCACATCGTGCCCTCTTCACCGTTGTACATTCAGGCTAATTTCCGAATCATCATCAATAATACTCGTTTGCACGAATTAAAAACAAAACAAAACATCTTGTGAAATGAGCGCCCAGAATAGCGCAATGCTACAGGTACAGCCTGCTGAACCCGTAACAAGTCGAGGTGTTCTTGATATCGCAATTGTTTCGTTTTTGTCGGTAGTGGAGTTCTTTGGTTTGATTGTAAATCGACCCCCCCAGTTCAGATTTTCAAAAATTCAAAAATGGGTCGACCTACATGGTTGTAAATAGGGTAATGCGAATTAAAGGTTGCTGCGTGTCACAAATGATTTCACTTCATAAAGTATAATTCATTTGCCTTAAGGGGGTACTCTACCCAGAAAAAAAAAATTCTGCAAAAAACATTGATTTTGAAAAATTACATACAGTAAAACCTCGTTATAACAAAACGGGATATAACAAACTAATGGATATAACAAAGCAATCATAATTCCCCTTGCTTGCTAATAGTGGGAAGAAATGGACATTGGCTATAACAAACTAATGGTTATAACAAAATAATTACGACCGCTCCTTCAACTTTGTTATAACGAGGTTTTACTGTATTTACATCCACCAACATCTAGAGAGTATTTTCAGAAATTTTCACTAGTTTACACTGCATGGTTAATTTTTTATAAATTATTTTCTGTCCACCGAAGCTAAAGAAAAGGTAGGGTTTGGAGCACTTTGAACACATTTTTCTCCGTTTCACTTTTTGGTATAAATTCTATTTTAGTCAACCTATCGTTTGATAATGGCAATACAGGGAAGGCTCATTCTTCACTTTTTCTGACTGAAATTTAATAAGGAATGCGACTATGGAATGTTTTTGTCACTTTACAGATGTCTTTTATAAAAAAATGTTGACATTTTGTCAAAGACACAGAGGACCAAAAAGTTTACCAATTTTTCAGAAGAGAAAATTGATAGAAATAAATTACTTTTAACAAAAAGCTTTCCATAGCCGCACCTCCTAGGCATTCTACTACATATCTAGCGAATAAAAATCTTGAATATCTTGATAGTTTTCCGACGATAGATTAACTAAACAATGTAGGCGTGTTGCTGATAAAAGCTGCCCTAATTTCCTTCCCGCTTAACCGACAGACATGAAATTTTGTTATGCACCCTCTAGCATGACCACCAGCCGACCCTGTAAATTTTATTAATGTTAAGCCAAGGGTTCAAAAGTTGACCCTCCTAGGGGGTGTTCCCCTTTAAAGAAAAATCTGAAAAATTTTAGGCGGGATTCAAACCCACGACCCTTTGGTTGCGAGGCAGACACACTACCAACTACGCCATGTCTACCACACTTCCTGCTATCTGGCAGATGAGCATGAGAAGCTAATGAGAATGCAGTGCGAAAATGGGCCGGAGAAGGCTATCGCGTTCCACTCTTAAAGGCGAAGCTGAAGCATCCTGCATGTTTTACTGTATTTGGCATGCTTCGGTTTTGTTTAGAAATGAAGCTGAAGTAAACAAAGAACTTGCGAAAAATATGCATAGCTGAATAGTAGCAGAGTTTGCTTTTTCTTTCAGTACCGTACCCCACTTCTGCCCCCCCAGCTCCCCGATGTCTCGTTTTCTCCGCTGTAGAGTATGGGGTACCCTACAGGGCCGTAACCAGGGGGGGGGATAGGGGGTTCTGACCCCCCCCGAAATTTTTTTCTGGGTACGGCCCTGGTCGGTGCACTGGCAGCCAGCCGATTTTACTCTCCACCTCTGCGCACGCGCAGTGGCGCCGGTCGGCTACCGGGTACCAAACCGGGACCGGTTCTCCGGTTTGCTGTAACTCTCCATTATATGCCACCGATGCACATGATTCATTGGCGAAAATAAGACAATAGACACTTTCAAAATGGCCGCCGTTGTCCCCGAAAACCCCCCCCGAAATTTTTTTCTGGGTACGGCCCTGGTACCCTATGCCAATTACAACTCGATCATGCAATGGTCCTTAGACTACCTGGTCTGGAATCTTTTCATCATGCTCTGGGAAAGCCTTCTCCAGGAACAAATTGAAGCACCAGAGGGACGCTGCCTAATGGACAGACATCGGTCCAGAGAAGCTGCCACAAAGAAAGTCGCTGGATACGTCTACTCTTTCGTAGAACCCCGCGTACCCGTCGAAAAGGTGGACCATTCGAAACGCCGTCCGTAGTCGAGACCTAGGGGTCGTTTTATTTTTGAACAATCGAAATGCCATGTCGTGAAGGGTGCTACATCCACTTTAAAAACGTTATAAAAATTTTTCCAGGTTTACTTTTTTTGATAATGTTTTTTTTCACTTTCTTTTTCGACTTTTACATGGATTAGCACCACTTTGGTTACTAAATTTACTAGGGCGGAAACCACTGAACTTTCCAGACCGACGAGTAGTTCTTCCAAGGATCGCATGGCGCTTACACTAACCGCACAATACGGAGACGAGTGAGGGACGAAGGGAAGGTGATGGTGACCGTTGCGTGTGCAGTCGGACCTGTTCCAGCAAGACCTGTACCCGGAGACGGCGGGGGACACGCCGGCCATCTCTGCCGAGGAGTGGGCCGAGGGCAAGGACGCCGACCCCGTCCTGGTGAATACCCGACGTTTCATGCTCCCTGCGCCGCGACTGTGCCTGCGACGCGTCTTCTATGGGCGCACTCGGCGCCCCGCGCGACGAAAGTGGTCCCGAAGCGGCAGCATACAACGTCACCGCTTTGGGTCCTAAAGCTGAAGGTTGTGTCGGGGCACGCTTTCCGCCTTGAAATCTCTGTCTGTTTTCGGGGTAGATGGCAAAGCCGGCAGGTAGAAAGATCGAAGCGCCGATGCAGTTCCCAAATTTGAGCATGCCTCGCTGACGTTTTTCGCGAGGATATCTGGTCTAGGAACTTCCTTCTCCCAAGTGTCTGAACGTGTGGCAGACGACATTTGACCACCAAATCTGGTCGACGGTGTCCCACGCCGTTACTAAGAGTTGGTGGCACTCGTAAAGGTAAATATCGGAGTCGTCGCTCACACGCAATGTCTGAAGGGAGCGAAGCCATGGGGGGATTCCCAGAAGCCTGCGTCGGATGACTAGTCAACCTGCCAAACGCCGGGAAACGCCTAACCATTCTTTGCTTCCAACCGCAGATCAGCCTGAAGGAAGGGTACACGGCTAGCACCAAGCAGGACTTTGCTGTGGCCAAGAAGCCCAACATCCTGAATAAGATGCCCGAGAAGAGAACCAGCGATTCCTCTGCGGCCAGTGTGCCGGTGAGTGCCTAGCAGTGAATGGTCCTCGAAGTCGGGCGTGCCGGAAGCGCCGTACTGTGTCTCCGCGTAACTGTGGCGAAGGGGCCATCCTTCCTGTGTGCCCGAGAAATTGGGCACGCATGATCTGTCTTTTTTTCGGCTCTATCGGAAAAGTAAGGCAATTGTTTATGCGACCGCAACTTTAAATTATCTTCCGATCAAATTGAGGCGTCGGACCAACGTTTGTTTTTGTGGCGTGCCCCTCCGTGTCATTCTGGGGCTCGCGGAACACCTTTTGTTCTTGGTCAAGCGCGTGGAATAGCCCCCACGTGCGTTCCAGAATCTGAAGCTGCTGTCGCTTCTTTATATGTGGGGGCTGTCAGGCAATGCTGTCTTGAGCACACGAATTCTGCAGGTGTTACCTGCACGTCTGAGGCAGCCATACACACACTCTCGTGGGGTGTCGTCACGTGCCACACTTCGACGCTCTCGCACTTGGCTTCGTTCCCGGCCGTGAACGCTATGGCATATTCTCGCGCAGGCGGGCAAGCTGGACGAACTGCTCGAAGAGGTGCGCAAGCTCAAGACCCTGGTGGTGAAGCACGACCGGCGAATCAAAGAGCTGGAGGCGCGCCTGGAAGGGGGCCCGCCTCCGGAGAGGCCCCCCACCCCTCCCACCCCCCCACCCGGCAACAACAACAACAACAACAGCAGCGTCGTCTAGCCACCCGCCAGGGGAGCACTTCCAGACGTCCGAGCAAGGCTCTCGAAAGGATCGTCCGGGCGGCGCACGAGCCTCGCAATGCCATCTCCATCCTTGGGGTCGTCGGACGCGTCGCCGTCGGATGGTACGATCGAGGGGAGCCTCTCGTGCGGTCGTTCTTGGGACTGGAGAAAGGGTCCCCGGGGGCCGTTGTGCGACGGGTGGGGCTCGCGGTTGCCGGCCCGCGTCTCGCGACGTCCCTCCTGCGACGGCGGCACGCCCCGTCTCTCTCCGGCCCCCTTTCCCCTCGCCCCGGCCTAAGCAGGCTTTCAAGCCGCCTGCCCACTCGCGAATGCAGGCTTGCCCGTCGAATTTACGCCCGCTTGTTTTTTAATCGCAGCCTTTTTAAGCTAATTTTGCGGCTTTTCCGCCGAGAATCGTGCGAGGACCGAGTGCACTTGTGCCGCCCAAACTCTCGACAAGCGATTGAGCCCGCGTTTGTTTCGGGCCTCTAGGGCTTCGCAAACTCGTCCCGCGTCTGAGGCGTTCTTTCCCGTGTTTTGTACAGCAAATGGTAGAGAGTCGGTCGGGCCTTTGTCGACCAAATGCCATTGGTGCTCCCCCCGGGAGCATTTGTTTTCTTCTGCCTTTCGTCGTCTACTCGCGCCAAACTAGTCTGTCGCGACAGTGGCGCAACCAGTTCGTTTTTTTTTTTTCGCTTCTTTGCCAAACTAGCAGTCCATGGTTTGGAGCACCGGGGAGTCCAGTAAGCCCCCGGAGCCGTCTTTGAGTTGCTGGGCTTGCAATGGACGGATGGGGGAGGCACTGAGTTGCTATTTGACGGCCGTCATCCGGAGTGTGCTCTCTGGAAGACGTTGAGCAGGGTCTTGCCAAAACGGCGGTTTTTCTCGAGTAGGCTGACCGGGATCCTCGAAGGGGAGGCGCCCCCGACTTCTGTGACAGTGGACCGCTTCTGGTGGCAAAGCTACGTCCAAGGAATGGACGGACAATCGAGTTTCACAGCGTTTTGACCAAAGATCTTCTGCCATGCCAAGTGGAACATAGAACAGTTATTCTGGGTCATTTAGAGCCAGTTTAAAAAAAATTGTAGTTGATTCCTGCAAGTCGGTAAACTTAGTAAAAAAAATGTGTAGGGGAAGGAAGGTGTTTGCCAAATGAAAGTACATAAACGGCTGTAAACTATAATCTCCGCAATAAAATAGCTCATTTACAGGCTGTCTGCAACATATAAACAGTCTCACCTCCTGCTCGCCGGTGTGCGAAACATTGGACCCATTTAATTGCCAGTCCCTCGTTGGGGGGTTCCTCATTGGCTTTAACATCAACTTGCTCGTCGCTCGTCCCACAATTTTTTCTGGAAAAGAAACAGTGCCTTACATTTACCCGAGGCAGAAAAAGAGACCTCTGGGATGCTCAGTCACCCTACTCAAGAGAAAAACCCGTGATGCCACGCGTGTGCGTCCGGTTAACTTGATCTTTTCTACGCCGAGTGCCGTCTGTTCATTTTCCGAGTTCTGAGGTCTGCATACACGAGTAGCTGCTGTCGCTTCCGACCGTCTCGAGCAGAAAGTAGCTGTACGACACAACCGACCAGCCAGATCGCAACCACGGTGAGATTTTGCTCGTCGCCCCGCTCAAAAGAGGCCCGTCTAAAGCAGTAAAGAGGCGCATCGCCAATATTTTTTTTAATGTCCGCCAAGGGACTACCAGATCTAGCACGGCGTAAGCAAAGGCCGGTCTGCCCACCGAAAGATCCACCTCTCCCAAAACTATTTTTTCCTCGGGGAAGCGTCGTGAAACAGACTGTTCTGCTTCTATGGTTCAAGGCACTCCGTTTTGTCTACTATAAGTATCGCAATTGCTCAAGTGTGAAGAAACTGCCGGTAACATAAACCCGTCGAACAAAGACGTCTTGGGTGCCTGTGTAAAGTACGGTTCTGGGCATTTTTCGCTCGATGGGCCACGGTTGGGGACCGAGCGTGCCGTTGAGGCCAACTTGCCGCCTACTCTCACGCGGCCGATTCAGCCAAAACTTCTGCCTTCGGCACCCAGTTTTTCTGGGGCCGCCGGGCAGACGTAAGCTTTGCCACAGCAGGCACGTGTCTCGAGCATGGCCGCTGGGAGTAGTTTATAGAGGTGTGCGAATGTCAAACTTTTTATTGCGGATCAAATACGAATACTAAACTAATTGCAAATTGAATGCAAATATTAAAATTTGACTGAATCAAGTACAAGTACTGAAATTTTACTCGATGTCTAATATATAGGAATATAAACAATAAAATTTGAAAAATGGAATATTTTCTAATCTGAATATCTTACGTTTAATGCGAGTTCAGCCTGGACGCCTTAGCAAACCAACCATGGCTGGATTTTTTTCTAGAAAACGTGCCTACGAAAAAGAAGAGTTTTAGTGCGTGAGAAACATTTAGCGTAGCTTGCGTTAAGAAAAGGAAAAAGGTCCCAATAAGGGGCGTTGGGTTAAACATAAGGTCACATGAGGAGCGAAGCAAGGACTACCTTGTCGATTTGAATATATGTTTATGTTCTTTTTTTCGGCACTGCCCTTTAAACTTGTGGGTCAAACTCTAATTACAACCAAAGAAAGTTGATCTAATGGTGAGTGAAATTTTTGAGACAATCTAGCCAGCCAAGATGCTTCGACATGTCGGCTGTTTTCGAGCGTCTGCTAGCACGCTGGTGCCTAGCAGTGAAGCTCGACGCAGGAAACCGAAAAATTCCGAAGCCATCTTGCGCAATTTTCGAATATTCGAAAGAACTCTGAGCAGTAAAAGCGAGCTGCACGTTAAACTGAATAGCAAACGGTATTTGCGAGTTTGAAGTTTCTCGTATTCGCACACCTCGAGTAGTTCGGTTGAAAATGGGACGGCGACGCGGTTTTGCGCGCCCGGCAATTGGGTTCTGGGTTGCGGGGCGTCGGCAGCAGTGCACGCAGTCTGCCCGTCGCGTAACCCTGCTCGTCGGCGTGGCCTTCCGGCGAAGGCGCACGTGGCAGAAGTTTCTCGAGTGCCTTTTTTTTGGAGAGTCTGGGTCTGCCATCTAGTCCTTTGTGTTTGTTTGAGACAGTGATGCTGTTTTTCCGAGTTCACTGTACCTGGGGATGAATGAAACCCTAGCTGCCGAAGAAAATAAAAATAAATAAAAGGTTGTCTCCTCCTTTTGGTGTGTGTGGCCAGAACACTTTGAACGTGCACGGCGTGCAGGATGATGTCGGGCAGGTCGTCCGAGAGTTTGTCTTGGCCAGCGTCTTGAATAGATTTTGTGGCATGAGACTGCACACAAAATGAGCAATGATGAGAAGGCACAACAAAATCGTTGGGGATGGGGCCACAAATCACTTTGAAATGTGCGCGCAAACAGTAGATGGAGGATATGTGGATCAGTATGTGTTCTTAATTTTAGGAGGATGAGGATCCTGACGGAAATCGGCACGTGCGTTGGTAATGCCTGTACGGTGAAACAAGGGTCGCTCGTGTCTCATTTACTGTTGTAGCTGCCTTGGTGGTTTGGAGGCAAAGCGTGCCATCCTGCAGATCCCCAGGTGGCAGGTTCCAGTCCCTCCCAACGTGCCCGCAATCCGTTGGGGAGATTTCGGTTGTGCGTCGGAAGGTCCCCCCGATGATCAAAATTAAAATTCGGGTTCAACGATTTCCGGACTTAGGTCAAAAATTTGTGGAAGTTGTCCTCTGAGACTTCTAAAGTAAAGAACAGACAACCGATTTCACCTGCGTGTCCTAGTGGTGTAAAAAAAGATAAATATTGACATTTCTGGCAGCCCTCCACTCACTCCGTCTTCAGGGTCCTACCTGGTCCCACTCCTAGCGACGTAATTAGGGGTGAGGTTCCTGTGTGCTCTTTCGGAGGACGCTTCCTCTCTTTGCTGACATTGGCGGGCGTTATGCTGCAGCTTAGAGCCGAGCGAGGTAACAAAATCTCCTCACTGCAGTTCCTTCGGCTGCCACTCACGGCTGCGGGAAAGAGCTCCACTTTTGCTTTGCCATTATGCAGCCGAATCGCGACATTTTTTAATGAAGGAAATGTTTTCTCTATCCTTCGGGACACAATAAACAACAAAAAACTATGAGATACAAATTCGTTCAATCTTAAAATCGCTGCACCCCCCCTTTAATTCTCCATTAAAAAAGGGCATCTGGCAAGCCCCGTACCAGATAGATGCCCGTTCGTTTCGGCACGCAAAACCTCCAGATTTGTTTAGTTACTTTTTTATTTCTAATTTCATTTCATTTCATTTATTATACTCTCAGGGCCCGAAGGCATTACAGAGGAGTGGAATTATACATCAATATAAAGTGAACAATGAAAACAAAATGCAAAAAACGAAACACAAGGTACAAAATCGCTATGGAACATTATTAAGAACATCAGTTATGGCGGTTTTAAAATCAGCAGCGTCGGTAAGTAAGACTACTTTTCTGGTTTGAACCTAGTGCAACATTTAGAAATTATGATAGAATACTGTTAGGGGTTGTGCTGGTAGGAGTGTAGACACATGTATACTCTGTGTCGTCACTTTCGAGCTTTTTTTCCTAAATTTTTTTGCAAGATTTTGCATTTTTCCCAGTCTGGTTTGGGGTGGACAAACGGTACGCACACAAGGGGGCTCTTTTACATGTAAACAACCCCCAATGCCCAGACATTAGTTCATTACTACACCATTAAGGGTTGCTTCATCAGAGGCATTTTATCGAAAAGTGGTACTATACCCAATGCTCCACAAAAGTGTAGAGGCCGCCTACCAGACAGCTCTCAGCTGGACCAGACGGGAGAAACCCTTGACGAGTTGGATTGTTAATAAGTGCCACCTGCTGCTAGCCAATGCCACATGCCCTTTTCGGGAGAATGCGGTTTAATCTCGAGGACGGCGCCCCATCTCCCAGACCTTGCATACTGATGTCCTTTTTGCCTAGAGTCGCTTGCTGTTGCACGTCAGTCCCTGGACCGGCACTTGCCTCATCCAGTGGTTGCAGTGGCTGTTCGGACCATGTCGGCAGTCGGTGACACAGGCATGTAATTTCAGAGCGCTGTCAAAGCTAGTGCGCACGAATGAGGTGCAACACAAAAGCTCTGGCTTGTGCAGCAGTGTGGGGTTGCAGCACCGTGGAAAAAAAGGCTCGAGGTACACCTAAGCACTCGCACGAGTTGTGAATGCGAAAGCATGCACATCAATATTCCGCTCTCTTATTTCGTCTGCGGTGTATATGCGTCGATGGCCTCCCCAGAGCGAGTCCTCTCCTCGCCGCTCTGACCTTGGACGCTTTCTGTTACCGCCGCGCTGATTAAAGCCCCTCTATCCCAGGAAAAGTGGTGCCATTCATTGTTGAGGAAATGCTCGAGGCACATGCCACGCGCCACTTCTGGGAAGAACATGGCGTCCGAAATCTAGCTCAGTGCTGCGCTGTGCTGCCATGACCTTCCCAAGGGCTGCACAATGCATGTGCCTCTTGCATCGGCGCACCTCGCACTACTTTTAGAACATGAAGGGGCTTTAATGCTGACGGACACGCAGCGCCATGGGGTGGCGGTCGTTGAAACTGACGCGCAGTAGCCAATGGGAGCCTTGTTCCTTGAAGCTACGACGTGCGCCAGCCAATGGGATTGAAGCCGAAATCCATCAGCTTCACTCTGCTCCTTTGGGATGGGGGAAATTAGGTGCCGTTGTCTAGGCTTTTCGCATGGTTTCATAGCTGGGAGCTGGCATCCCTTGGGGAAAGGATTTAAGGTGCCGTTTGGCGCGGCTTCAAAGCTGATGACGTCGGCTCGCTCCATGGGACCAGGTAAGGCTCTCGCATTAAAAAGCTAGCCTCAACAATGTTGCACAGAAATGATGGCTCCGAGCATATACCCACACTGACGCTGTATTGAGCATACTCCTTTGCAAAACTAGCAAAGTCATGCACAGAGAACTGCAGCCTGTTGTCACTTACCAATGGGCACCCTGGAGCTGTTGCAATGATTGAGCCCCTCAATACAGAAAAGTTACGACATGCTATGAAAAGCACCGTCTGCTATTTCGGGAAAATCATGATGTTAAAAGAGTGTGGGTGGGGAAGGAGTGGAGGCAGGGGCTACGAGTCAAGCTTGAAAACGCAGCGACTAACTCACTCCCACACTTAACTTCACACAAATCTCTGAATTTAGTGAGCTTTTTTGTTGCTTGCTTAACTTTATTTTATAGATAGTTTCTTTTATGCAGCTCACTTTTTCCATTCGTTCATTTTTTAAAATTATTTTCGTCGCTGGTAAACTGCTAATACCGAAGGCGCGCGCGTACACGATCGCAAACACCCTCGCGTAAACACAGCGGTGTTTGCAGTCTTTCCCAACTACGCTCTACTGTGTTTAGCGGCTCTTAGATGCTTTATTTGGTAAGGTCCCGTTTGTCGCGGCCTTCGGTATTAGCAGAGACGCGCGGAAATTTAAATTGGAGCTTAAGTTAACATATTTTTTGTATATCAAATTATCGATATATCCAACTATTTTGCGATCCCCTTTGAATTTGATACATCTGGGTTTGACTGTAATGTTCAACCATCAACACATTCTGTGTCGATACCTTTCTTATTGGGGGGTTGTGCCCACCGGGGGAAAAGGGATATGTTGATCAGAGGTCGGCATTTTAGGTCGCCCTCACTCACCCTCACCCTCACGGCCACACTTACCTAAGCCCCTCACTCACCCTCACCCTCACAGCTACACTCACCTTCAGCCCCTCACTCAACCTCACCCTCACAGTCACACTCACCTTCAGCCCTTCACTCACCCTCACTGAACCTCACAGCCCTCACGCACTCACCGCCCTCACGGCCCTCACGGCCCTCACGGCCCTCACGCCCCTCACGGCCCTCACGGCCCTCACGGCCCTCACGCCCCTCACTCACTCATGGCCCTCACGCCACTCACCGCCCTCACGGCCCTCACCGCCCTCACCGCCCTCACGGCCCTCACAGCCCTCACGCCACTCACCGCCCTCACCGCCCTCACGGCCCTCACGCCACTCACCGCCCTCACGCCACTCACCGCCTTCACGCCACTCACCGCCCTCACGCGCCTCACCGCCATTGCGGCCCTCACACCCCTCACGCCCCTCACGCACTGATGGCCCTCACGCCACTCAGGCCAGCTTCAGATGGGGCAATTTCGCCCAGAAACTTTACGTCGCAACACCAGCAACACGGGCCGCCCGCGATCACACGCAGCAACGAATTGCTGCAATTTGCCATCGTCATCATAAAATTTTATTTTTCTTGCACTATTTAGACACAATTACGCGTTATAAACGTGTTTTTATGCATTTAAATTTCGTTAAGAATACTAATGCACCTTTCTGAAACAGTTTATTTCCAAAAAAACGATCGATTTCAAACCAGAACCAAGTCTTTCGGTGTCATCATCACCGGCACGAGGTATCACGTGAAAATTTTGCGTCCCTGATTGGATGCAGCCGCTTCAAACGCATTCGAATTGCTCCGAGTTGCATGGCCCTCACGGCCCTCACGGCCCTCACCACCCTCACGGCCCTCACGGCCCTCACGGCCCTCACCGCCCTCACAGCCCTCACAGCCCTCACGGCCCTCACGGCCCTCACTCACCCTCAAACTCATGAATTTTCCTGGTTCAGAAACTCACTCACCCTCACCTCACCTGTGAAGATGAGGGTGAGTGAGGGTGAGTGAGGGCCCTCATGAGTGAGGTTTGCCGAGGTATGATGTTGATACATTAGAGACTGGGACGAGAAACAAAGTCTCCTCCCAGTTTTGGGGTTTAGTCAATGTTCAACCGTCACCAGCTCGTTTGTGCCCCAACCTTCTGTGTCGATACCTTTCTTATTTGGGGTCTTTAAAGGGGCACTGAAATTAATGCTCGTTGATGTTTTTATTTGAACATGACCTATAAAAACTAAAGTACCCAGGACATAATTTGTGTCTCAAAATTCATTTTCTTTCCGCCCAAAAACAGCCGGCCAAAAATTGGCTGGTTTCAGTCGTGCACACTCTCTTTTCTATGGTCACGCGGCATTCAAAGTATATGTACCAAAATATATATTTAATGTTGTGGGTTATCTAAGGCATACATTCAACATTCAAAATAGAAAAGAATATGAACCCCATTTTTGTGGCCTCCAAAAAACTGAAAATATGCTGATAAAAAAAAAAAAAAAAAAAGTTTCAGATCACAGCAAGTACCTGTACACGTCATTCTCAATATGGCGATGTAACGCGAGCTAGAAGACATGATGGCGGCGCACGACAAACCAACGTTGTGACGGACATGGGACCGTTACTTTGGAATAGTTGCTCGTGGCAATGGCCAATCAGTTTTGAAGAACAGAACGTCAAGCGGAAGGGATACAAGTGCGAAACAATCGCACAACAAACAATACACGCAGCTTCGTCGTCGTCCATTTCACACGCCGGAGAAGCAGAGAAAAAAAAACGAGGTCGGGCGTAGCCTGCTATATCCAGCCACAAGCTAACGTGCTCGTGTTTCGAGCAGTTGAGTTTTTTGTCTTTATTAAAAATATACGTCGCTCTGTAGCAAAATTTTGATTGGGTAGTCCCCCAACACCGCATTAAGTCACCTGGTGTCAGTGTCCTTTTAAGCAAAGGAGGAACTCTGAAAGGACACGTTCGCAAAGAACTCGCAGCACGCATGTTTTTCAAACAATGTGTTAACTGAGAGGCAATCTTTTTTATTTCACAGTTGAGGAGAAGGGAACGAGATTCATCCCAGTTACATCACCTACAAAATATTTCCTCGCACAAGGTTACACATTGCCGCTCATCTTTGGTTTCGAGTACAGGACAAACATGGACACCGATATCAAACATGCACAGCCAAAAGAATGACACCGGTACATTGCCAGGGTGACCAACCAACATGGCTAAAGAGCCACAAACGATCATCCGGGGAGCCACCAGGGGTGGAAGGGAGGGGATGCACTTTTGGGGTGAATTTGTCCAAAAGCTGGAGAAAATTCTATACTTTGTTTCACCTTATGATGGACCACAGAAGATGCTACAAGCCATCGAAGCCACTTGAACGCCACGAGAGTATCATGCGAGTTTTGCGAGGGGTACAGTGGCATCCACGGTCGCGAGGTACGTTCACAGCGCCGAATTGACTGGGATGGCTCGTGGTATTCACTGCAGTCCATTGTACCGTAGTTCTATCATCCCTGCTTACGTGTTTCCTCCGTCGCCATCCCGTAAGACACACCATACGTTGAAGCGAGGTTGAAATACATTCAGTTTGATTCCGTAGTGCTCTGGTTTCGTTCACCTTGTCGGCGTTAGGCCTTCGAAACTGGCAGTCAAAGCGTCGCATAAATCAGAGAAAATCGATCAAGCCCATTCAATTCGATTAATATAGCTATTGCTTAGTTTGATGCATACAAAGACAAGCTCAGCACTCAATATAAATTGGAGCAGAATATTGCACGCGAAAACCAGGCCAACGAGCAAAAGTAGACGAGCGACCAGTGTTCGGCCGACCTTTACGCGCAAAACTGACATCCCCGGCTCTCGCAGGATGTGGAGGGGCGGCAGAGACCCCGTCATTCTACAAGGTCCAAAGAATGCTTGTATGCGATTTATTTTTCTTTCTGGTGAGCACATTTCATTTTCGCAGGGTCATTGACTGAATGCCGACCACTATTTTAGAACCACTAATTGTGTATAGCATCTTGTTTTCGGCTGGCTCCTAGCTGCAAAGTTTCTACCAACAAGTATGACTCCTGGCCAAAGCTACCTCTTAGAGTTCCCAGTTCACGAGAGCCACACTGTGGCAACTGCTCGTACTGTGCTCTGCGGTTCCTCTCCATGGTGGCACGTCTTGTCACCTTTGTTTGCAAAACTATAAACAATAACTGGCCTCTTGATGGAATATTTGTCGGCGTAAGACGCGTCACTCACACGAGATGGTTCATGCCAAGTTTCTCGGTAACAGATGTGTTCAAAATTTTCTCAGCAATAGAAGTGCCAAAACTTTTTCGACAAAAAAGTGCCAACGCAAGTTGCTTTTCAATAAAAGTGGTCCACAACTTAAAAACAGTAGCAACCAAGCTAAAGCAGTAGTTCTCTATATTTACACGGTATGTTAGAAGCTCTTCCGCAAGATGACACATCTGTGAACAAACAAGATTGGGTATTGCACGCCCCGAACCACGTATGTAATGTAAACGATAAAGTATTAACGTTCAGAGCGAGGTCTCTAAAAAAAACATTCACTTAAATTAAAACTTGCGGGACTCGTACACAAACCACTCTGGAAAGCGAGAGCCCCAAAGCGACGGACAGCCTAGGGGGGGAGGGCTACACACAACACAAAAAAAATCCGCAGTTTAAACTGGCGCAGTATGACGCACACCATCCAGGCCCCCCTGGTTGTGGCAGAAAGGGTGCGGGTCCCGCCATCCTCCGGAAGAGCCCCGTCGTCTGCTACCTCGTGCCCCGAAGCTGGGCCAGAGGATCCACCTGCAGAGAAAGAGAGACCGTTTTCTGGCATGCACATCACTTTGAGAAAATAGGAACACGGGCACTGAGAGGCAGCCAATGAAAGAGATAGAGCCGACTGGTAGGGTTGCGAGGTGCCTCGGTACAGGAAACCGGAAATCTGTAGCCAGGCGTGTTTGTCGTGTACCCGAGGCAAAAACCTAGGCACTTCCGTTTTGTGGTACCTGGAGCTGTATCTTAGGCACAGGCTGCTGCAATATGAGCTGGCCCGGCGGCAGATAGACCAAAGCGGTGCAAAAGCCATGCACGGAGGGAAATGAAGCATTTTACCCTCATTTTTAGCAATATGGCGGTCAGTTTCACAGCTTGGTACACATGCACAGCCGTTTTACCCCTTCCAGATAGCACTAAACTCGGCCAGCTCATATTACTGCTGATTCTACATTTTTCAGAGACTTGCCGGTAAGGGAAGTTACTTTTTATTTCTTCTTGTTCGGTTTTTAATGTCGCAAATAAAGTTGTCAAGTGACACAACACATTCACGTGACAGAACGATTTCTTGTTGAACACAAGTCACAATTTTTTTAACTGCTCTCAGGTTTTCTTTTACACTTGCAGTTTCTTGTGTCCGTCTTATCTAAGGTTTGCGAGATGTGTACTTATGGCAGTGATACCATTGGTTATCTGGTCAAAATTTTGTAGCATTCGTTTCTTGATTTTAGTTTGAGCTTGGTATCAGGTTTCTACCACGTGTCGGAGCTTGTAATTTTTTCACTTTATTTGTTAGGAGGCCTGGATTCATTTCAATGTTTCCAGCAGACGCTAATAGCAAAAATGTGACGGTTGCTAGTGTGAACAACTTCAGACATTGAGACGAAGGTAGAATGGATACGACTAAAAAGCAAAATTCCGCAAACAATGAAGTTGTTTCGCTCTTGGAAGAAACAACCCGATTCACGCCCAGTAAATCACAACGTTGGCACCCTACACAGCCCAAGGAAAACCAACACACAGACAACACCAGGATTTGTAGCAAACAAAAATAGAAACATAGTACCCTAGGTGCGTTGGGGCCCATCTGCAAGAGAACAAGACTGCTGTTTATGCGGCAAAAACAAGGCTGCAAATCTCACTGCGATATGAACGAGGGAGGACCCAAAAGTAACCAGAATTTAAATTTCGGAAGGGCGGGCCATTTGTAGCAGCTTCTGCCGCTAGCGGCGCTTAGCGGCACCCCTTCTGAGTCAGTTTGCCGACCAGCATCGTCTGCTAAACTTCTAGCAGCACGTTGTAAATTGTTTCCACAAGCACTTCAATATCATTCCTAGTCTTTTGCAATGTCTGATTTGAAGGACCTTCCACATCCACAAAATGTTTTCTTTTCATAACTTTTTCATACCGGCAAACAGAAAAAAGTTACATGGGGTGAGGTCCAGTAACTATGGGGGGGGGGGGGGGGGGGGGGGGGCATGCCATTTTTGCTAAAAAAATTGTTGCACTGACAGGGCAGCATATGCTGGGGCATAGTCATAATGAAAGCACCACTAGCGCCCCTTTCGCACATACTAAGGTGTTTCTGCCTCACCGAGTTGCGCAAGCGTCGCAAAATGCCCAGCTAGAACACTCGATTAACAGTGGCACTACAAGGAACGAACTCGGAGCGAGCAACGCTTGGATTTTCTCGATATTTTCATCAGTCGAGGAAAATAAGGGACGCCCTGAACAAGGTTGGTCGTTGACCAATAATTCACAGTCCTTGAAGCAAGAAAACCACTCGTAAACCTACAATTTCTTTATAGCATCTTCTTTGTAAGTTGACTGAAGCATTGCAAAAGTTTCCACTGCCGTTTTCCCTGAACAAGAAAACAACCCAAAATTCACGGCCGCACATTGTTGTTTCACATCAGACACTGCAAAAAACGAGGAATAAATTTTGAAGCGCTTGGGTAACAAACTTGCATCATGCCGCTAGAACTTTAGAAGACGCCGCCGGTCAGCAAACTAACCCGGAAGGGGCGCCGCTAAGAGCGGCGGAAGCTGGCACTACACTTCGGACCCACTTCCCACGTATGGCCAGTATCAGAGCCCTTTATCTTGGGAGAGTTTGACATTTTTTTGAACATGCCAACAGACTAGCAACAACAGCTATGAGTCTGGCTACCAGGAAATGACACCTTGTCCCCTTCACCTTTGCATTGAATTTCAGACCCACACTGAATTGGGCACCCCAAGAATGGGGCGACCCGTCATCATAATGAAAGTTTTTCGTTAATGAAAGCATCTTTGGTGCTGTACATGCAATTTAACAGCTCACACTTACCTGTCTGCTACAATCTCTTGCAATTATATGATTTTTAATTCATTCCTTTTTTTTTTTTTGTCAAAAGTGAATTCTCAATACTTTCCATATTATGTCTCAAAAATGATCACCACGAAAATTCAGTGCCGCCCAAAGGATTGTGTTTATAAAACAACAACTAACTGGGAATTCGGACTAGCACATGCAAAGTAGAGTGGCCAAAAGCAAACACCTCCACTTTGCGGCATCGCAAAGTGCACTTGTTTTAGGGGGCGCCACATTCCGCCCATCGACCAAACCCTTTCAGTATGAAGGGCTCTGGCCAGTGTAAGATGCTAAACACCAGTCTGAAATGTGTTCCAGGTGCAGTAGTGCAACCAAGAGATAACCTCTTTCCATTCCGCCAGTAAGATATGATTGTTTGTGCCTGTGACAAAACATCTCTTTTCGTTGCTTCATTTTGAGCTAGAAACAAGGCACCCTCCATGGTGCTTCGCTGCCGCAGTATTGGGGCTCATGCACAGCAAAACCACTACTGGGTGTAACATGTTGCTACTTAGAGCTATATTACAGCAGAAGCTTTGCTTTCATACAAATTCTCAGGTAAAAGCTTGTTTTGACCATTCCTGCCACAACCTCCAATTGTTCAGACAGATAAATATTCCTCCCTCTGGAGGCAGAGGTTGGCAAATTATAATGAATTCACTCACCCACAATCAGCTTTAAATGAGGAAAGGATTGCCATTCCCTCAGCTTCATAGTCACATTCATCTTCAATCCCTCACTCATGAACTCAACAAGCTCATGAAGTCACTGAATCGTCAACTCGTCAAACTCAAACTTACAAAACTTATAAACTCACTCAACTCAAACTCACCAAGCTCAAGAGCTCACTTAAATTGTGAACTCACCAAACTCAACCTCATTAACTCACCAAAATCATGACTTCACCAAACTCATGGACTCCCCGAACTCATAAACTCACCCAATTTGCAGACTTACCAAATTCAAACTTATAAGCTCGCCACAGCCAAACTCACCAAACTCGTGAGCCTATGAACTCGTCAGTTGCATACTCACCAACTAATAAACTACCTAAATTTGCAAAACTCAAACTCACTGAACTCAATAAACTCGCAGAACTCACCAAGCTCGTCAAATCGTGCCTCTCATCGACCTGATACTCCTCACTCCATCTCAAGCCCACGAGTTGTCGAAGCTTACAAACGCCCTCACCTCAAGGCCGAGCAAGTGCAATCACGAGCAAGTTTTGTCGAGGTACGACTAGACGTGGGCCAACATGCGTGCGACGCAGCACCCACCTGTCCCAGGGTGTGCTGGGCAGGCACCCCGAGGGGCAGCAGGAGCTGCGGAGGGACCGGATGGAGGGCCACTGCCGCTACCTGGGGGGGCACGGTTGTCCACCGCGGCTCGCAGCTGGCCTTGCAAGCCTCTGAGGCCACGCTCCCCTTTGGGAGCACGGGTCTTTCGTCGTGGCAGGGCATCGGCGCTATCAGCCGGTAGCAGTCCGGCCGGGCGTGCTGCTCCATCGTCGGGCGCTGTCCCTGAGCCGGCCCGGGCTGCAGCACTCTCTGCAGAATGATGCCCGGAGGCAACAGGGTCGCCCGCGCTTGGAAATTCGGAGTCGTCTGAAAGGCTCGCAGGAGCTGGAAGGCTGGTTGGGCGCTCGAAGCCGGTTGCAAGCTCGGTCGCACGCCCTGAGCCGTCTGCATAGCTTGCTGCAGACTTAGATTCGCTCGTGGGTCTGAATAGAGAGGCACACTCCGCTGACAACCCGGGTTCAAATGCACGCCGTTTTGTAAACCCGGCTTTGACTGCGGGCTTGGCTGCACGCTTGCGTTAATTTGCGAGCACCTCTGCAGGTTGGGGTGTGGCTGATGATTCCGAAGGATGTTCGAACCGGACTGCGCTCCTGAAACGGCCAGACGCGGAGACATAGTCATCACGCCGGACGTGGTCCCCATCGAAACCAGTGGCAAACAGACGTTGCTCGCAATGATGGCATTTGGGACTGTACCATTGACTCTTGGATCGGGAATGGCTGCTGTCGAGTAGACCACGCCTGCAACTGGGATCGACGGCATCCGGAGGCTCGATGTGTGGTGCATGGTGGCCGACGACGCCACCACAGTGCTATTTACGCTGCACGACACGGCACTGCTCGGGACTGGGGCTCTAGTCGTCGGCTGGCCAACTCTGAGCTGGGGTGCAGCACCGCCACGCTGCTGCCTGCTGTCCATGCTTCCCACAGGAAAGGGAAGGATGTGGTGCTTGGGTTCAATGCTGCGACACGTAAGCACACTTGTAGACAGAATGTTTGGTCTTCTACAGGCATTCTGGGCTGTATCTTGCTGAACTGGTTTCACGATCACGTGCACCCGGCTCTGCACCCCCGAAGAAGCGGTGGTTGCCGGTCCGACGGATGACGAGGAGCTCCGCTTGCAGTCTCCCGAGAAAGGAGGTGCTTCACTTGCACCCCTGGCGGGACATGTTGAAGGACGTTCCGTGTCATGGCTCCCTAAAGGGTTTGGCATCTTTGCAAAGGAAGCAGCATTTTTCTCGATTTGGTCTTTGGCAGGGAGCGCACTGATGACGAGGCCACTGCTTTGTCGGAGTTTTTGCAGCATGTTCTGGGACTGCGAGATGGCCTCTGGAAGTCCCGAGACGGTCTGGGAGGGACTGGGCCTGCCTGCCCCCACGGTGCTTCCCCCAGAGACGGCAAGCACAACAGCACTGGGCACAGAAGATGGCGAACTGTTGGCAATCTGCTTCATCTTGTCAAAGATAATGTACTGCCTCGAGCACTGATCACCGAGAGACGCCTCAGGCTGTTTGGGGAGTGCCGGAGGACAGCTGGAAAAATGAGAGAAAAAATTAGTACTTGCAGGCACATTTTTTTTTTTTTTAACATCGGAGAATGACTTTTATGGCCACCCTCCTGTACAACGTGTCAGGAAACACCTTTTTGAGTGTTCACGAAACTGCGGTTAGTCAGGACAGTAAAACCAAGCTCATGAATTTGGGGGTGGCCCTTCCTCTCGTCACTGAAGCACTGGCACTCCCTAATGGGCAGGCACAGTACTTCGCCATAAATGCCAAAACAATGAAAGCCCCTGTGACACAATAACAGTGTGGGGGAGAATTAAAGGACAGCACACCGAAAGTGTGTCCACATCCACACTCTAGGTGTGCAGGACGCAGGAGTCGGCTGCCCTCTGCTAGTCAAGAGTGGTCTTTTGTGAAATCGATGAACTCCAGTAGAATGCCTACTTCTAATAAAATAATGCCCGATTGTTTATTGAGGTTAATTCGTTTTAAGAAACCATTAATGCAGCTTCAATAATCAAGAATTGCGTGATACAATGCCCAATGCCCAAGTTGTACCATAGTTGCTGAGTGAAATTGCATTCCTCCTGACTATGTGACTATTCGCATCTCTAACTTGTTGCTCGCCCTCCCGCGGCAGAAACGGGAAGTGCTCTAGTGGGGATCCCCCGGTTCTCCAGCTCAGCGGGCATGGCGGGACTGCTCGCGATCATGGCTCGCGAAATGTCATTTCCGGATACAAACACTATTCACTGTCCCAATGTAGTGCTGTAGCCGGCATGGGATTGCACCAGTGTTGCAAAGTTGACACCCCGGAATTGGAATGATTCCGGAATCATTCTGCATTTTTGCGACCCCGGAATGGAATGGGAATGGAATTGGATACCTTTTGCCCGGAATGAAATGGGAATGGAATGGGCTCGGATCTTATGCGAGCTCTGTCGATTTTTATCTAGGGCCCACGGGCTGATGGCGAAATTTGTTAGCGCATGGTAAGTGGCTCTTGAAACAGCATCATTGCGCTGGAGGTGACTGACGGCTTGATTGTCTCGCTGGCTTATGCTCCTTTGAGGATGAAAATGGCGCACCCTGAATGAAGCAATCGAAACTGAATACTGTAAATGACTAAATTTTCGCAGGGACCTAATTTTTGTGAATTTTGCGAATAGCCTACAATTCGCGAAAAATACGTCCCGCGAACAATTCGGGCAATATGTGAACGCTACGGAAGCTACACTCGATTCGCGAAAATCAGAACCCGCAAATAATTTCAAACTTTCAGTTTTGGCCTGTATCGAGAAAATTAAGTCGTTTACAGTAGTTGTAGACAGACAAGGTGTCATTCCTAGCGCCGCGAGACGCAAAAAAGCAGCTGTTGTAATCACGCACAATTAGCATGTAGCTTTCAACCAAGGTGTCAAACTGAACCCAAACCGAAAACTGGAGCAAAATCGTTATTTATAACTGAACCAGAACAAAGCTGTAACCTAAATCAAACATTTGATACTAAACCCGTTTTCGGGCTTCGTCGGTTCTGTAAAGTTTGATTGCATGTAATAGGCAAACTAAAAATATAAAAGAAACTGAATATTTTTCAAGAAGCAGTGAATTATAGTTACTATATTCTTGAATGTTTACAGAATTGTAAAAATTGTATATTGCACATAAAAAATTCCCAAATATGGCTGCTTTAACATTTTTACCCTATTTTTGTGACCCATTATCTCGTCATGTGTTAGGAGATTAAACTGAAACTTTTTTCATATGTCTTTCATAAATGTCTCTATTCGAGAATTAAATTTCTGCTCTAGTTTATAATTCAAATTATTTACAGCGCTTAAAGGCGCACTAGAGATGCTTTTGAGAATGTCTGTTCTCGGTGATAACTCATTGTACGAGATCTTAGCATTACAGAAATCGAAAAAATATGCTTATGCGACAACTCTGGAGCACATAATCCAGCGGAGGTGCCGGCGGCGTGACGACGGCGCCTCTGCTGGATTCTGTGCTCTGTAGTTTTCCACTCAGAAAGGGGCGTGGCACTAACTTCAATCACATTTTTAGAAGGGAAATAGATGTCGCACAAGCATAATTTTTTAATTTCTGTGATGCTAAGATTCTGTACAACGAGTTATCACCAAGAAGAGACGATCTCACAAACGCCTCTAGTGCAAAGACGGTGAGAGTGCAGGCGAGCTGGTGGTAGCTAATCATGTCGTATTACACCTGAGACTGCGGTGGAAGAAATCGGAAGAACTTTCAGTAGAAGGAACAGACACAGAGAACGTCTCAAACTCAGCTCTTGAGCTGAGTTTGAGACGTTCTCTGTGTCTGTTCCTTCTACTGAAAGTTCTTCCGATTTCTTCCACCGCAGTCTCAGGTGTAATACGACATGATTAGCCTCTAGTGCACCTTTAAAACATACTTGAAATTGAAAACTTTCGCAACTTCAACATGCAATTAAAAAACAACAAACAAAAAGAAAACATCTTCAATCTTTTTAAACTTTGGAGGAATCACCTCCCTTTACACCATCGTAATATTCCATTAAAAAATGTTCCATCATTTTGTTTCTGTCAAAAGTACAGCACTTTGAAATGTACAGGTTCACTGAAAGTAAAACTGAGCACCGGAGCCGCGGCGGAACTGCATCGCCGCACTATCTACCAGCGTTGGCTGGAACTCATAGGTTACATCTGCACATGCGAACGTGCCTTCTGCGGGGGCCTCCGCTTCCTTCTTTTAACCAACACGTTATCGGTGGATCGAGCAGTGCAACGCTCTTCCTAAAAACACTGCCAGGTGCCTTACTTGTACGGAAAGATACTTGCCCTTCTCTCCCACTTGTCCTCAGCGTTATCTCTTTGTCCGAGCCGAACACGTGTTTATCTGAACGGCGTTTGGCAGCTCGAGACGCTGATAATGCAAGGAATAAACAAAAAAAAAAAACAGAAAACACCGTGAACGGCACGCGCACACGCGCAGACGGCACCTATCTGTTCCAGCCGGCGCTGGTGCAGTTTAGCCACTGCTCCGGCGCTTCATGGACATTTTCGCCAAAGGCCACAACCACAGTGGCCGCCTTCCAATATTTTTTTTTTAAGAAGTTCTCACAATGTCCTGTTTTTTACTGGAGCACAAGTCCGAATTATACATCTGGACTGCTCTAAACACTTCTATGAAGTGCACGTAGTGCACGATGCATCGAACTGCTCAGGACAGCAGTTCGATGCATCAAAGAAGCGAACTGCGACGAGCCCGCTCTTCGTGCTTAATTGTTAGTGCACGGTCGCGCGAATTGAAACACCATCCCCTGCAGGAGTATAGGGGGGTTGTCTCAGATGCTCTTCTTTGTAAGCTACGAGATGGTATTTTGTTTTTCATTTTCACACTCCGAACGCCTTGGCGATGGCCCTTCCTCCGAGCCAGAGCCGGAAGGATCAACGGTAAAAGGCCTCCTTGCTGTATCCATACCCTTTCTATATCCTTGAGACTTTTATTTTGGTTTCCCAGTGATCTTATGAGGGCTACAAACCTCTTCACCTTGCTGTTTATAACTGGTGCGAGAGGAACGTTTCCTGTGCAAAGGTTTAAGCAAACAGTGATTTAGCTTAGGACAAGGGGTGCAAACACCGTGCATGTTCCTTCAAACGATTGACGACGACGTGTCATAGATGATTTCTCGTCCCTCGTCCGGCAAGATCCTTGTTCTCATGAGGAAATTAGTGCGACAATTTTGCGACAGGTCGATCATGATGAAACTAAATGTAACAGAATATAAATGCGGAAGGACATGCACCCCCTTCAATCCAAAGGAGTGTTGAGATAGCACTTGGAGTTGATCGACAATCCTGACCAACCAGAATGTCGTTGGAGCCGTAGAATTTAAGGCGATTGTTCGAAAGTATGAATCTTGGTGAAATATGTGTTGAGTAACGAAAATGACGGAGGCATTACAGCGGTGAGCGGCGCCTATGAAATACTCGTATAGACGCTTTACACACGCGCCAGATTGAGCCGCCATAGCCGCCCTTCTCTTGTCTTACCGAGAAGCCGAGCCACTGAAGCGGGCGTTGACGGGTCTTCACAAGGGCCTATGCTGGGCACAAGAACACAGTAGCATCTAAAATGGCAATAACCTGTCCTGCTGTGGTAATGATGAAGTGAAGCGAACGGAATAAGAGGGAACAAAAACTGAAGGTCAGTTAGGGCGGCGCCCATGCGCAGCTGCTGTAAAGCGTCTATATCTCCTCCAGTTTTCCTCTATTCGAGAGAAAATCGTCGAAAATAATTAGCGAGCTTGTTTCAAGATCTAAATTTTGTGGAATGTCCCTGGTGAACGCTACATCCGGATGATCTTTAAAACAATGGTGGCTCGTAAACGTGCACAAAGAAAATGATGTCCAACTTCTTAACGAACATTTCATTTCCATAATGCAGCAATTTGCGAATATATGTGCTTTTGCCCGATTTCGAAGGACCAATCAGTGATGGATGCCGGCATCTCACATCGCAATCTATCGAGAACGAGACATAACACCATGTTACGCCTGATACATTTACCGCTTTCCTTACGCTAAAGATAAGTGCTTGACCTTGACTGAATAGAGCATAGCTTGAACCAAAGCCCAAAAGATTTTTGGAGGTTTACAATACAGCACACGCGCGATGCTAGCCAAATTATTTGCACACATAACAATAGCTATATTTCCGCCTCTCTAGAGGTTGCAGGTATGTTTGCGATTACTTCGATGACTGTTGCTCTGCCGTTCAACAAGCCGTTCAGCCTATGAATATTAAAATCAACTGCAAGGACTTTTTGTCTAATATTAGAGTACACAGTGTCACAAAAAAAAAAATAATTACAGTTTTTTTGTTTTTTTTACTGCAAAAATAAACTAGGCATCGCCGAACGCCCACAGGTAGCGCTAGAGGTCACAACCAGATGTCGAAGTTTCAGTCCGATCCGATACCCTATTCAAAAGTTATGATTGATTTCCTTAAAATTTCAATGGGAAAATGCAGCC